CAGATACAATGTCATACACATCGATATTTTTCTTATGCGTGTGCCTTTACCTTTACCGATGCACGCGTGTACAATGAATCGCTTGTACAATGAGACTAATGCACCGTAAAGTACTCACGGTTACGTGAAAATCGTCTAATAATAGGAAAATGAATATATGGAGTGTCGCGTTACCGTACTTCATACGTGATTTACTATTTCAAACGATCGTGTTATGTGAACCGTTTATTTTGTGAGTCGATCGTTTAAAAAAAGAGAAAATAGAGATATCGCATAATTTGTGATTAATTCGGTGTAACCTTTTTATTTATGACTAGCTAATATTTAATATCTTAAAAAATGCCAATGTCAAGGTCACGGTATTCTAGATTTGGAAACATATTTTACACGAAAGAGCGAGAGTCCGATTCTCGATTTGGTTCAATTTGAAAAAATTGTTCAAAGGCGATGACTATTTTATCCGTGATTCGACGAATGTATTTGAATTAATATTGATATATTATATTATATATTATTATATATTATATTATATTGTATATATTATTATATATTATATTATATTGTATATATTATTATATATTATATTATATTATATTATATTATATATATTATTATATATTATATTATATTATATACATTAATTAATATTAATATCTCTGAAATTATTATTTAAAAAAAATTACCGATCGTCGACAACTATGAAAACGAACTACGAGGCTCGAATAATCGCGTCCCCTATTCCCGAATCGTCCATTTTCGTTCGCAAGCCGAGGGACAATTGGAGAGACAATTTACTGTTCCTCGATCTCGCGACGAGATTCGCTTCGTTCCGTGCTTTCTACGGTTGACCTTGCATAACACAGAATACACATGGTTACATAACAGATCACACCTTTCTAAATGTATTGCTATCCCACGAATAGAACCGTCATAAGATTAGCGGAGCTATTTTTACGGTTTCGAACGTGTCCTCAATTTCGATCGCTCGCGCGATTGTACCTTGATCTTGGCTAAAACATTTGCCCATTCACCACGGTTCATCTCGATTTTACCCGTCGCGTTGATCACTTAAAATTGATTAATTGCCCCGATCACGATCTCCTCTACAATACTTTCATTGTTCTCCTTTTACGTAACAAGTTCTCACAGCTTATCGACCCAAAAGGCTATCGAGAGTATCTCCACAACTGCAGCTTAAACGGATACACATTTTTTATTTCCCTCGAAATGTCGTCGTCTAATTGAAACACGCGACATTCTTGCGTTATCAGCTGCGATATCTGAAAATTATTTTACGATCGTCTTTGAAAAATATCGAGTATGCACGATAATCGGTAAATTCTCCCTAATTGACTCGGAAACCAAAGTGGATAATTAGAGAAGGTGGGGTACGATTGTTCGAGCCTCGCGGCTCGTTTTTACAGTCATCGATTGTCGACAAATTTTTNTATATATTATTATATATTATATTATATTGTATATATTATTATATATTATATTATATTGTATATATTATTATATATTATATTATATTGTATATATTATTATATATTATATTATATTGTATATATTATTATATATTATATTATATTATATTATATTATATATATTATTATATATTATATTATATTATATACATTAATTAATATTAATATCTCTGAAATTATTATTTAAAAAAAATTACCGATCGTCGACAACTATGAAAACGAACTACGAGGCTCGAATAATCGCGTCCCCTATTCCCGAATCGTCCATTTTCGTTCGCAAGCCGAGGGACAATTGGAGAGACAATTTACTGTTCCTCGATCTCGCGACGAGATTCGCTTCGTTCCGTGCTTTCTACGGTTGACCTTGCATAACACAGAATACACATGGTTACATAACAGATCACACCTTTCTAAATGTATTGCTATCCCACGAATAGAACCGTCATAAGATTAGCGGAGCTATTTTTACGGTTTCGAACGTGTCCTCAATTTCGATCGCTCGCGCGATTGTACCTTGATCTTGGCTAAAACATTTGCCCATTCACCACGGTTCATCTCGATTTTACCCGTCGCGTTGATCACTTAAAATTGATTAATTGCCCCGATCACGATCTCCTCTACAATACTTTCATTGTTCTCCTTTTACGTAACAAGTTCTCACAGCTTATCGACCCAAAAGGCTATCGAGAGTATCTCCACAACTGCAGCTTAAACGGATACACATTTTTTATTTCCCTCGAAATGTCGTCGTCTAATTGAAACACGCGACATTCTTGCGTTATCAGCTGCGATATCTGAAAATTATTTTACGATCGTCTTTGAAAAATATCGAGTATGCACGATAATCGGTAAATTCTCCCTAATTGACTCGGAAACCAAAGTGGATAATTAGAGAAGGTGGGGTACGATTGTTCGAGCCTCGCGGCTCGTTTTTACAGTCATCGATTGTCGACAAATTTTTAGCAACAATCACGAGTAACCACCGCTGTTTCATAAATATTTATTTCATAAATAAATCCGAGGGATTTGTAAATACCGAAAATTCTCTCTAATCGACCGAAGAGATACGATCATTCGAGGCGCAAATTAAATGAAATTTAATCGAGCCGCAAGGTTATTTATAAAGGTACCTTCTATTCCCAAAATTCTTCATTTTTGCACTTTTATTTAGGAGATCGCTTGTGCTCGAAACAGTAGCTTTTTTACCGACGCGTTGTTTGTCAATCAAGCGCTGACAATAGCTACAAAAATCTGCGGGACCAGTTCGGTCGTTGTCCCATTTACCTTCCAATCGAGATCGCGCCTCGACCCAGTTCTTTATCCTCGCTACGAAACCTGCTCTTTCCCTATATGTACAATTGTGTGTTTATATATATATGTTTGCTCCTAGCTCCGTGTATTTTCCTCTCGCCACATATCTACAGATTCCATGCGCTACTCCAGATACAATGGCGTGTCGTTTCACGAGACAAAATTTCGTGGAACAGAAAGATTTGAGAGCCGTCGCCATAGCGATACTTTATCGTGAAAAGTTTGCCATCATTTATGACAACGTACGATTTTTATAGCTTTCGGAGGTCGGCGAATTTGAACGCGTTAGCAAAGAGGCACGATTTAAGATGGAAAATCAGGCACCGTTGATACACACAAGCATATAGAATTTAGTATGATTTCTTCGTGACTTTTCTCTTTTTTAAACAAAACAATATTAAAATACAAACATTGTGTTACAGGGTTCATTATAATATATACATTTAATTCAACGAGGCACGAAAATTGAATTTTGAAAGGCGACGCGTCCGACTGTAATTTCGAAAAGCAGCATAATTTCGCGAATGCTGCACCACGGCGAAAACAAGTCGCGTTAGATATAGCGTGTGCTTCTCTTTTTCTTCAGCCTCTGCCGGCTCTGTATTATTAATATATTCTCCGGTGTCATTTGCCCAAGGTCCGCGCTTTGATAATGAACTTTAACGCGAGACCTCGTGACCCAAAGGCGAAGCTGATTCGCTAGAAGTCCGGTGGTCTTCGTTTCCTTCTGCGGGAACGATCGTTAATGTTCCTGGTATTTGACCGTTCGCGTGTTCCTTCCGTTTGATTTTTTTTCTCTTTTTTTTTCTTTTTCTAAATTGCAAGGTTTACGTAATCTCGACGATCTGCGGCGCAAACGCGATCGTTAGAGCGATCTTGTAGATCTCATGAAGCAATGTCACGAATTTGCGTCACGCGGGTGTAATAATAATTAGATACGTATTTATATAATTAGATATGTTATAGTATATATTATAATATATAATTAGATATAATAATATATTTAATATATAATATACATTATAATATATTATTAGATATATTATAGTATATATTATAATGCATATTATAATATATAATTAGATATACATATTTATATAGTAATATATATTTATATAATATTATTGTATAATATATTATATATTTATAATAGTAATATATATTTATATAATAATTAGAAATAGAATAACAATTTATATAATAACTAGAAACCGATAGTGAGATGCAAATGTCCCAAGAAAACCAGAAAGAAAATGTTCTCCATCGTAGTTCATCGTTTCCCGAGCCTCTGATGTACAGTTCTGCGCACAGAATCGTAAAGACGCGCTTACGTGTTCGCTTGTAAATGCAAATTCTCAGCTGTTGATATAGAAAATGCCTAAAACGCTAATTCTATTGGACCGATCGCGAAGAGGATAGGAATTCCTGTGCGCGTCCGAGTGAATCTGTATTTTTAGAGCGTAGAACTTCCAAACCGAACGTGTCTGTTATCGAACGACATCAATTTTAGCGAGATCATTCATGTGCGAGCAGTATCTGGCAAATATATCGTGACGAGCTCGTTCGGCATTTTTACGTAATCCAGAAGCCACGCGTAATTGTTCGACGTATCCATCGCAGCTGTTACTTACTTCGAATCTCATTTACGACGATTCGTTTGTTGAAGTAAATTCACGTGTACTAAGTAGAAAATAATTCGATCGATTAGTGCCTATTCGATTCTAACAGAGTCTCAATGACGCCATCGAGAATCACATTAAATAAATAAGAAATCGATTCCTGGTTACTGCGAGCAAAAATATTCGCCATGAGTATAGTATTCCATAGTATTAAAAATTTCTTCGAAGAAGTAAATATTCGAAATACTTGAATAATAAATTATATTATAGTATATATAGTATAGTTGTGTTCGTTGAGTGGTTCGATAATTCTCCCTGATCCCGAACATCGACGAATCGAACGATCTGTTACAAAGCTGCGCGTAAAACTGGTATCGTTAATTAGCACTTCCGCCGATCGTGTATCGGTAATCGGGACGATCGTCAACGGATGTTGTACCCAGGTGAACGGGGGGAGAGGACCCTCTATAGTCCTCGCAATCAGCCGCGTGTATCAATCGATCGGATCGATACCGTTAATTGAATTATCAGCAGACCGGATGGAGAGTGGTCGATAAACCGATCCTTTCTTTTCTGTTTACAGAAATTAGCTTCGCCAGTGTTCTTGAGATCGTTGTCCGACGCCTCGACCGATCTGAGGAAGGTCCTTACCGAGAAGATCCCGAAGGAACAGGAACGCGTGAAGAATTTTCGTAAGCAGCATGGAGCCACGAAAGTCGGCGAGGTCACCGTGGACATGGTATGCAGCTAATCGTTACGTAATCCGAAACAGGCGTGATCGCGTGACAGCGAATAAAAATGATCGTTCGAGAACTCATTGCGATCGAGACGAAGACGCGCGTCTCGGCGTATTAGCATGGCGCGCCACGTGGAGGCCGAATTTTTTCTATCGAGAGAGAAGCAGCGCAGCCGATTATTCCTTCCTTTTTTCTTCTTCTTCAGGCTGATAACGAACCGCGGAGACACATAAAGTCGGTAGACCACCATCGTGACATGGGTGTGCACCGCGTGCTTATCATGTGATTATTGCGAGGTCTTCTTAATGAGGATTTCAGTCGTTTTCTTATTTTATGTGTTCTATATCCGGACAAGGACGTTCGACGAATTTGAAACCGATAAATCTTTTTCGACGCAGCCTTGAATTACTTTCCATTAATTAGCATCTAGACTTCTGGATAAAATTTACCGGTTGAAGAATGGAAATATCGATTCAATATAAAGATCAATTAATTTAAATTAAATTAATAGAGAAAAGTTAGTTCGGTTCGTTTCTACAGCATCGGTTTGCTGCCAGATCACATGATAAGCAATGTTTCTAGTAACTTCTAATTACATTATTTTACTAAGATTTGAATTTACCTTGCAACCTTGAGTACAAAAATAAGTTAACTCTGTTCCGCGCTCAGAGGCCTCGCAGAGTGCCAACAATGTCCTATTTATTATATATATGTATATTATACATATATAGAGAGATTATATATATATTATTATATTATATTATAAGTCTCTAATGTTGACAATAGAATGAAATTCACCCTAATATTTCAGATGTACGGTGGCATGCGTGGAATCAAAGGTCTGGTATGGGAACCATCCGTGTTGGACCCGGAGGAAGGTATCCGATTCCGTGGCAAGTCGATTCCGGAATGTCAGAAACTTTTGCCGAAGGCTGCCGGTGGCGCGGAACCACTCCCGGAAGGTCTTTTCTGGCTTCTGATCACCGGTGACGTTCCCACCGAAGCGCAGGCGAAAGCGCTTTCGAAGGAATGGGCGTCGAGAAGCGCCCTGCCCGACCACGTGGTGAAAGCTTTGAACAGTTTCCCGAAGTCGCTCCACCCAATGTCCCAATTCTCGGCCGCGATAACGCTCCTGAACAGCGAGAGCGAATTCGTGAAGGCCTACACGAAGGGCGTGCACAAGACCAAGTACTGGGAAACCGTTTACGAGGATTCGATGAATCTGATCGCCAAACTTCCGGTCGTGGCAGCCACGATATACAGAAATCTTTACAAAGGCGGCAAGGGCCTAGGATCCGTGGACGCTGGCAAGGATTGGTCGTGGAACTTCGCGAACATGCTCGGCTACGACAACAAGGAGTTCATCGAGCTGATGCGCTTGTACTTGACCATCCACTCTGACCACGAGGGTGGAAATGTATCCGCACACACGACTCACTTGGTGGGCTCGGCGCTGTCCGATCCGTACCTGTCCTTCGCGGCCGGTATGAACGGTTTGGCCGGACCACTTCATGGTCTCGCGAACCAAGAAGTATTAGTATGGCTGGAGAAACTGCGCTCTCAAGTCGGAGACAGCCCCAGCGACGAGAAGCTTAAAGACTTCATCTGGAACACTCTGAAGAGCGGACAAGTCGTTCCTGGATATGGTCATGCTGTGCTCAGGAAGACTGACCCTAGGTACACTTGCCAGAGAGAATTCGCTTTGAAACATTTGCCGGACGATAAATTGTTCAAGGTAAAATATCGTCGTACTTGACGTTCTTATCGTATCTTGTTCTCGAACATGTTCGAGATCTCTTAATTAATTGATATAATGTTTCTATTTCCAGCTGGTCAGTCAAGTATACAAGATAGTTCCTCCGGTACTCTTGGAGACCGGCAAGGTGAAGAACCCATGGCCGAATGTAGATGCTCACTCCGGTGTACTGTTGCAATATTACGGAATGAAGGAAATGAATTACTACACCGTACTGTTTGGAGTGTCCCGTGCTCTCGGTGTCCTGGCATCTCTCGTTTGGGACCGCGCGCTTGGTCTGCCAATCGAGAGGCCCAAATCTCTTAGCACTGATCTCCTCATGAAGGCCTGCAAGGCTTAAGCGCGTCGTCTTTGTTTATACGAGAGAGAGAAAAAAAAATGGAAACGGTATCAGAATCATTGAAAACTCGAAGTTCGTGTCACACCATCATCATAATTTCTAGGAACAAGGAACTGACTGCTTTGAATTATGTTACGAATGTTGTCGATACACGGAAAAAGTGTAAGTCTCGAACTCATTTCGAATTCATTTTGATATGACTTCAACGAAGTCGTTTTAATTGCCAAGTGTTGTTAAAATGATACAAGGCCAGGTATTAGAAACAATGATTAATCATCTAACGTAATGATGTATTGTTCAAACGTAGATATTCTAAAATGAAACATCGTGGTGTATTTATATTGTAAAAACTATGACCGATTATATCGTTGCTTCCTAATAATAATGGAAATAAATGCGGTGAAGTTTTTACATTATAAAACCGTATATATAAAATATAGATTGGTCGAGTATACATAGTTTAAACTGCCAAATCGATCGCGAGAACATAATACCACGCGTTTTTAATAGTAGACACGGTTCATTGTAAATATATTTGTCGCTTTACGTTTAACTTAAATAGTAACGACTTTAGAAGTAACACCACGATACAGATCATTGTAATAACAATTAGAGCGAACATACGAAAATAATGGATACAAAAGTTAGCGGAGTGCATAGTTAACATTTTGCAGACACTGTAATTTAACAGACACTGCCAAAAGGGTATCAGAATTTTCTAGGATGTATAATCCAATTGCAATAAGCATCTTTACTTTTATTACCGTAGCGTGGAAGCATTACGTAGGAAGTTTGTCTTTTCGCAGAGAAAGATTGCAAAGAACTGCTCTTAGCGAAATACACCTTTATGCAATATAAAACGAATTATATAATAGGGCTAATGGGATATCGTAAACGGTGTTGCAATGTTAATGCACCAGTTATTGGTTAGAAATTTTGTTCAATACATAAAAGGTATGCGATTCAATCGCATAGAGTCATTACAATTTACATAAATTAAAAATACGATGACCAGTGGTAGATCCACTGTTAAGAGAATGAGTGAGTGTGTGCGATACTTTATTTATAACGAACGTGAAAATAAATAGATATTTGAGAATCAGGTTTACTATTTCTTCTGCCTAACAACTCGGTACATTTTTTTTTTATGAAAGAAGAATTCTTTTCAGTGGTTAATTAGTATTTCAAACCAAAACCGAATATAATCAAACATATTTATTATAATTTAAAAAATCGTATTACAAACGAATTGAAGAACTTGATGATTCCACAATGCAAAATAGATAATGGAAAATGTACGTTATTTTTTATTACAATTTTATGTGATTACATATTTATTTAGTTAGATTATTCATAAAATATTCAGCACTAAAAAATAAAGAAATGAGAATTACGTGCTAAAGAAAGTATAATGCATAATTTATTATCTATTTCCCGCAAAAGATAATTTAATAAACTTATTTTACATTGACTTCAGTCCATATGTCAGTTAACAACCTTGTTTGCGATTATTTGATTTATATTGTACCAATACGATTTAACACAAACACTGGTATTAATTTTCATGTTATTCTGCCCCTACTGACCCAAACACGATGTTTAAATCTACCCAAGTACATCCAACTGATGTGAATTGTGAACCCTCATCAAAATAAAACAACTTGTTAATTTGTCCTGCATATTTCACAACTTTTATGTAACGAAAACCGTTAACGAGAATATATACATAATAGTATTGTGTACAATCTGCAATATTATATCATATATACGACAATTAATGCATTGTTTCTCAATATGAGAAAACCACTGTTTATATTTTTATGAAACTTTAAATGTATGATCTCACTCTGACTTTAGACGGCATCTTCCATACAATGATCTTAATAATTTCTACGATGATTTCTTTTGCGTTTGCTATTAATATTTTAAGTTTTAATAGATATTAAATACTGAAGTATTTCTAGCTATATGAGAGTTAGTTGTTCTAAATTATGAAGTAAATAAAATAAATGAGACAGCTGTTAATTGGATATTTATGGATCAAAGAATCAAAATGATTCGTTAATATTTACAATGAGACGATCAGCTTTTTTCTACATGGAAAATATCCTTTTCATCTGCAAAGAATATTTTTCTAATAGATAATTATCATTCTCCTATATAACTCAGAGTCAATGTTCCCAACAAACAACCGTCCCATTGTTGAATCCACGTATCACAGAGCAGTAAGTATTCTGCTTTCAATCATCTAGTTGGATTGGTTGAATAAATCTAGCCATGAAATCTCGCAAGACGTTTGCTGTACCAAGCACTGAGAAATGTTCAAACTCGCACAGAAACTTGAAAAATATGTGATTCAATTGGTGCTAGATTAGATTTTACTTTTTAGAATTGTTTACTACTAATGCGGAGTATAAAAACTATGTACATAGGTATTGTTTTGAAAATCGTACAGGCCAAATAATTTCTATCCGCATATCAACCAAATAAAATGAATTACCTAGTATTTTTTTTTTTACTACAAACACAGGTGGACGGGATCAAGAGTAAATTCTATATTTTTGACACGTGCATACAGATTTCTTGATCGAATCTTTTTTTGTCGAATAAAAAAATCATATTTTCTGTTTTTCAAATTGCAATTTAAATGCAGCATTTTATATCTAGAAGTAGTATAATGTATTGATTAACCTTAATTGTGGCAGTCCTGCTGTAGAATGTTTACAATGCGCGTCATTTTTTTTTGCAATAACAAAAGAAAATTCGCTATACATATTTCTCATAATTTAACAGTATCCTCTATAAAAGACTTTTACAATTCTAAATTTTTCAATTTCTTTTATAACATATTATTTTTTACACTTTTTATGAAGAGATTAGTTAAAACGTTACTTTACTCTTATATTATAGATATAATCATTTGCTATTATATTTTGTATCACATTAATAGATAAGAGTTTACCCGTCCACCATTCGACACGTTAAGTGCCTTGCAGCAATAACTGTGATCAGCATATTACAGTTACATTTCAAGTTATGCATGAAGCTAATGTACCATTTGAAAAATGATCATCCATTCTAGATTCATTTGTACAATTGTTAGAGTGGCACAGTAACTTACAATGAACATATACTTTACAGTTTACATATCTTATGACATTTAAAATGAATCCTCATAATGTACGTCATGTCTTCTTTAAACGTCCAACAATCCATTCTAAACCTTGATACAGTCTGGAAAAGTTGTAAACAATTAGATTATGGATTTAAAAACTGATACCGATACATAACTGAACTTTGAACCCTTACCCTTCTCCAGTAAGTGCACAACAACTTTGTATATGCCACTGATGCTTCTTAATCGATGTTAAATCCAATTGTCTAGAGATTTCTGCAGCTGTCATACTACCTTTTAAATCTTGCTTATTAGCATAGACTAAGACATTAGCTTTACTTAATTCCTCGTGATTCAGCATTGAGTATAATTCTTCTCTTATAACACCAAGTCTTTCTCTATCTGTACTATCTATAACCATTATTATAAACTCAGTGTTAGTATAGTATGTAGACCATGCTGCTCGTAGACTTTGTTGTCCACCCAAGTCCCACATTATAAAATGAATATTTTTCCAAACTACTTCTTCTACATTCGATCCAATAGTCGGCGATGTATGAACAACTTCATTCATTAGGAACTGGTACAATATAGTCGTTTTACCAGCATTATCCAAACCTACCATAACTATCTTATGCTCTGCAAAATGAAATAACATGATCATAATTATTAAAAAAGTCTATCAGAAAATTGTACAATACATATGAGCTTGTTTTATATTAGAAGAACATGAAAGAAAGAAAAGAATACATATTGCTACAAAAGAGAAATCGGATGAACATATGTTAGCATAGACATGTATAAAGTGGGCCACCTGTTCTGTCACAAAATATGATTGATGATAACTCCAAAAGTAAATATTATATTCATTGTAATTGATCTAAATCTTTTAGATTAATTACAGTAGCACGTATCAAATTTATAACCGAATACTTGGAAATTTCTATTTCACCTATTATATAAAGATTGCAATGATTGGAATGTACTTTCACTTCAATACATACTTTCTTCAACATGACAACCTCATTAGAAAGAACAGTTATCAATTTTACGTAATTTAAATATAGTGTTAACGATTTTTTTATTGGTCTTAATAAACTTAGAAAATAATGTTTACGACATATATTTCCATGTTCATAATCATCCTACACATTTTGTGAACATAAAGAAAGATGAATGTTTCGTTTCTATTTATATGTACTTGACATATGAAACAGAATTTAATTATTTTTTTTATCATTAACAACAAATCATAGTAAATAACGTCATTCGTATGACGCGACGCTCAAAAGAATAAAATAATCATGTATGGGTTAGTGGATAATATGGAATTTACCTTCATTGCCAAAGAGACTCCACAATTTCGCGAAAAGTAGTCCCATATTGCTTCAGTCACCATATAACTTAGACAATAATACTTCTTTAATTGTATCACTGTACAGACTTAGTCTTAATAAAAAGGATGTTTTTGGTTTCAGAAATAGGACATCTCATTGTCATAGGGTTATGTTCTTCTTTTCATGGAAATCCTTCTCAACACGTTTTCCAAAAATCTGCGTCATCGCCGACGCTCCACAACGTAAAATACACACAGAAAAACCGTTACAGACTGTTGAAAACTCACTAAATAGAATGCTAAAGTGAAAGAAACATACGAGGACCTTCCCTAATCTAATCAAGCAAATCGCGACATGTTGCGTTTCCAATTAAAACTTCCATAAGGGAATACGATCCAATCATCGTCTAGCAATAACCGAGAGTGATGTCAGTCTTGTATACACAAGCATTGATTGGAGATGGACAGCATCGAACAAAACGCGCGTAAAACAATATTGTAATGTTAAATCGTAATATATATTTTACAATCTAAATGATTAAAATTTCCTAGTATCTTCTATTCATAATTAGTACGCATAAAACACATTTTGCGCGCATGACTCATACTCTGCATACGCTATAGACTCCGATCTTTAGATCCATGGCCTAAAAACATTAATTTTAGCAAAATTAGGACATAGAAAATTAAAGATACGTAATTGCTCAGGAAAATCTACTGTGTAGATTGTGTATTGTACTGTATTGTATTGTATTATGATGTTAGAAGCGTAGTTAAATTGCTCTTTCAAGTTTGGTTAACAATTATGTTAACCAATTATATTTTCCATTGTTGTCGTTCGGTTTAGTTACACTATATTGATGCAACAGATTCTCCTGAACAGATCTGTGTCCTTGGTTTACTTTTTTATGCTCTAATTTTGCCATAATTAGTGTTTTTAGCCGACCCTGCATTGTGAATTTTATGAGCGATTGTGGCGCCTCTTTTGGAGAAAAAATGAAGCTCCGAACGAGGTCCGTACNCTTTATTATTAAGGAAACATAGTGTACGTATACACTGGTATTAGAAATGTAATGATCATGGACCTAAGTCTAAAGGACGGAGTCTAATTGCAGCAGATTGAGGTAAAAGACGGAAAGGGACTTCGACCGTCAATTAACGGTAAACAAAATATCTAACAAAAACAAATGACAACAATGCAAAGTATAATTAAATCACTTTTTGAAGTTTGGTTAACTATTATGTTAAATTAATTATATTTTGCGTTGTTGTCGTCTGGTTTTCTTACGCGATATTGATGCAGCACATTCTCCTGAACAGTTCTGTGTCCTTGGTTTCGTTTTTTATGCCCTAATTTTGCCATAATTAATGTTTTTCGGCGACACTGCATTTTGCAAATGGGGGTGACAGTGGCGCCTCTTGTGGAGAAAAGATAAATCTCCGAACGAGGTCCGTACAGCGCCAATTAGTAAATGGCAAAACGCTCAAACTGTTAGCCAAGCGGTGGCGCCTCTTGTGGCGAAATCTGGAAGCTCCGTTCAGGGTCCGTACAGCGCCAATTAGTAGGTGGTAAAACGCTGAAACTGCTAGCCAAAACAGAACTTCCCGATTTCGCCGCAGATGGCGCCACCGCTTGGCTAACAGTTTGAGCGTTTTGCCATTTACTAATTGGCGCTGTACGGACCTCGTTCGGAGATTTATCTTTTCTCCACAAGAGGCGCCACTGTCACCCCCATTTGCAAAATGCAGTGTCGCCGAAAAACATTAATTATGGCAAAATTAGGGCATAAAAAACGAAACCAAGGACACAGAACTGTTCAGGAGAATGTGCTGCATCAATATCGCGTAAGAAAACCAGACGACAACAACGCAAAATATAATTAATTTAACATAATAGTTAACCAAACTTCAAAAAGTGATTTAATTATACTTTGCATTGTTGTCATTTGTTTTTGTTAGATATTTTGTTTACCGTTAATTGACGGTCGAAGTCCCTTTCCGTCTTTTACCTCAATCTGCTGCAATTAGACTCCGTCCTTTAGACTTAGGTCCATGATCATTACATTTCTAATACCAGTGTATACGTACACTATGTTTCCTTAATAATAAAGATTAATATATCAAAGGGTTTAGCTTTTCATATTATGTTTGTAGAGACGTAAATGATTTTAATCGATTCCATTGAAAATAAACATTAAATTAAATGTTAATAAATTAGAAAATTTCACATTACATATCTAGAATGTGAATCGGTACTATAAAATTACCATGACGTTTGCGAATATCTTGTCGGGCTTCACCTCGTTTATAATTTTTTTAAAAAACGACACATATCATTAAAACCGAAAAAGTAAATTCAATTTTTCTCTGGGATAGGTTTTATGAAGATAATAATCACATGATAGATAAAAGAAGTAATTTTGATTAATCTGTATACAATTAATATGAAATAAATTCCATTCAAAGAGATACATTTATATGTGTTGGTGTTATTATGAAATACTAGATAGTAGTAGTAGTGTTCACGTTTTGATGACTCCATGCTGACCTTGGTGTGCATCGCGATTGGTTGACGAAACGTCGGCTGATGCCGAAGACTACACGAGAATGAATGTTCATTCTGCTGCGGTCTAGTGGAAACGTTCGGAAGTTCGGACACTTGTTACTCTTTGAACTTACTCCAAAGGAAAATTACATTTCATCCTATTCACATTGATCACTTGTTAAAATGAGCAAACCGTAAGTAATTTCTTCATTATATCTAATAAAATTAAATTTAAATATATGTATAAAATTGGAAAATTTTATTTTAAGATAATACACTTAATTCTTTATATCATTTACTACTTATTTACTATTTCTTACTAATGTGTTGCTTTACTTTTATTATATTAGAATTAACTTATTACATGTTTCCGTATGCAATGTACTATACCATTGCATTTTTAGTACAATGTATAATTTCTTAACTTGCCTATAATCTGATCTATAATCTATTCTATTTTATAGAGTAGCAGATATTGCCCTTATAGGGTTGGCTGTCATGGGCCAGAATTTAATTCTTAATATGAATGATCATGGATTTGTTGTCTGTGCATATAATCGTACAACAGATAAGGTCAAATCTTTCTTACAAAATGAAGCCAAGGGCACAAAAGTCATTGGCGCTTACTCATTGAAAGAAATGGTAGAAAAACTAAAATCACCAAAGAGAGTAATGCTTCTAGTAAAAGGTAAATTATTATAAACTATCTTTGCGTAATAGGAGACTAGAATTTGACCTTGTCACAGATTAGTAAGCTTTTTCTTTACAGTCTTCGTTGTCCATGTGATAAGATATTGTATATCTATGATAGTAATCTTATACAATTGTATTCTTTGGCCTGCTAAGAAAAACAATTACAAATAATTATATATTTTTTAAAAGCTGGTGCAGCAGTGGATGCATTCATTGATCAATTAGTGCCTTTATTGTCCCCTGGTGATATTATAATTGACGGTGGTAATTCTGAATATCAAGACACTGAAAGACGAACTAATGATTTAGACAAAAAAGGAATTTTATTTGTTGGTAGTGGAGTTAGTGGAGGAGAAGAGGGTGCTAGGTATGGACCGTCTTTAATGCCTGGTGGAAATCCAAAAGCTTGGCCACATATTAAAGATATCTTTCAGGTACTTAAAAAGCACTCATTTATTTAAAAATTGTTTAGTAGATATTTATTATAATAAAATATTTTTTACAGTCAATTTGTGCCAAAGCCAATGGTGAACCATGCTGTGATTGGGTAGGAGAAACAGGGGCAGGACACTTTGTAAAAATGGTACACAATGGTATCGAATATGGTGATATGCAACTGATTTGTGAAGCATATCATATTATGCGAAATGGTTTAAAACTTACTCCAGAAGAAATGAGTCAAGTGCTTGACGAGTGGAATAAGGGAGAACTGGATTCTTTCTTAATTGAAATCACTCGTGACATCCTTAAGTACAAAGATGAAAAGGGTTACTTGTTAGAGCGAATTAGAGATACAGCTGGTCAGAAAGGAACTGGAAAATGGACAGCCATTGCTGCATTAGATTATGGAGTTCCGGTAACGTTAATTGGGGAATCAGTGTTTGCTAGATGTCTTTCTGCTTTGCAAAGTGAAAGAGTAGATGCAAGTACCATATTGAAAGGTCCAGATACAGTGTATGAAGGTGATAAGAAACAATTCCTAGAACACTTAAAGAATGCCCTTTATGCATCAAAAATTATATCCTATGCCCAAGGGTTTATGTTACTAAGAGAAGCTGCCAAAGTTCATAATTGGAATTTAAATTATGGTGGTATAGCACTTATGTGGCGAGGAGGTTGCATTATAAGAAGGTACATCCATTTATTGACTTTGAGAACTCTCATAAATAATTAATAATAATTTATTACCATATTCTTATTTTTGTTTTCAGTGTTTTCTTAGGAAATATCAAAATAGCATTTGATAAAAATCCAAAACTCTCTAATCTATTGTTAGATAACTTCTTTGCCAATGCAATGAAAAAATGTCAAGCTAGTGCTAGGATAGTAGTAGCAACTGCAGTACAACTGGGAATACCAACTCCTGCTTTGTCAACAGCTTTAGCTTTCTACGATGGCTTCAGAACTGCCCGTCTCCCAGCAAATTTACTCCAAGCTCAGCGGGACTACTTTGGTGCTCATACTTACGAGTTACTTGGTGCAGAAGGAAAATTTGTGCATACAAATTGGACAGGACATGGTGGTAATGTCTCTGCTTCTACATATGATGTATAAAAAAATATGAAATCTATTTTGATGTTTTGAGAGAATGTTTAAATGGTATGAAATTAGAGTTAATGTTATGATTGACAAACACTTTATTGTACGTTATATATTATAATGTATCAATGGTTGTGAAACAGTGCTGGGGAAACTATTCTTATTTGAAAACGTATTTTGTTTACAAATAATATATTATCTATATTTCTATATATGTATGAAATATTTTATTTCATTAAACCTGTTAAAAAATTGCTCTTTGTATCGATATTTATCTTTATATTTATTCTTTTTTTTTATTCGAATTATTAAATCTATATACAACACAGTGAGCAATCGGATAGGTTATAGATAATGAACTACTCATCTGAAGAATGCATTCAACAGGTGAAAACATCAAGTATAAGTATTTCATTATCTATATGACTCTTTCGTGTCGGATAGTTTATAAAAGAAAATAATAGAGCATGACTCGTTAGGTTGCTGAGTAATATGTATATATTTATGAAACCAAGGCGGAAGTAATTTAACCTTACCTGTCTTTCGTCACGATAAAATACATGTAACGTCATAGTTTCAAACAATACAATTCCAATATGTATACATATACATTTACAAGAATGACTATTCAAACCTACACAAGTATAAAATTACATAAATAAGAAATTCTTATTATCGAAACATGGCAACGAAAAAGGTACATAGATATACATAAATATACATACGCAAATGTACCATGTAGTATGCATCAGTGCCGACGACTAAAATGGAAATCTAATGTAAAAATAATTTTGTGCCATGAATCACTCAATGTGTGTAAGATATGTAAAAATTTAGAAGATCATAGAATACAAAAATTATATAATAAAACTGTTTATTATTTTAAATAAGAAGTGTGAATAAATACTTTAAGTTTCATATAATGTACATTTGTACATAACGTTACATGATGTTACATATCTAAAGTTACGAACGTAATACACATATACATACGTACATTTGCTGTATGCATACATACATGCATCATGCGTATAAGAATTGTTAAAATCGTGAAGAATTTAAAGATATGAATATCTATCGCATTTCGATAAAAATGAATTTCCTTGCACGTCATTTACGTAATATTAACATTTCAAATAGAATTAAGATATATAATCTGATAAAAGAGATTAAAAAATAAGATTTGAAAACTGATATGTACAGGCATAGAGCCGTCCCTGAAATGCGTCGACTTCACTGACCGTAGACGGGCGACTTAGTCTGCAGTGTTCATTTGCAAAATGGCTGATCACAGGGAAAGGGATTCGTATTATTCACAAACGGATTTGCGGTCAAAAAATGATGATCCACCGAATTCGCGCCTATTTGTTATATGCCACAAAAGTTTGGAAGAAGATGACCTTAGGAGAGCCTTTGAAAAATTTGGAAAGATTGAAGATATATGGGTGGTTAAGAATCGGAATTCAGGCGAAAATAAAGGTAATTTCTCTTGCCTTTAGAACAAATCGATAATGTTTTTATTCTGCTTTTTAATGCAGCTCATTTAATATCCATACATTTTTAACTTCATCGTTGTGTTCCCTTGCAAATTTCCACTGGTTATTTATGTACTTCTAATACATTATTTGAAATATTTATAATGTAACGCATGTTCATGTAGGAGTCACATACATTAAATTTTCGAAAACATCAGAGGCAGCTTTTGCTCTAGAAGAAATGAATGGCAAAATGTTGGGTTCTGTTGGAAGACCCATCAAAGTAATGATTGCTTCAAAGTAAGTTGTTCAACGTTATTATAAATTGTCTCATGCCTGTTGTTTTGTTGTTAGTGCATGTATATTGATTTTTGTAAGCAAGCCAATATTGGGATTTATTGCAGCCGTGATCAAGGATCTGTAAGAGAAACAAATGAGGAAGAGAGATGGGTTCGTTTGTTTTGTGTTTTACCAAAGTCTATGACCGATGGTGAACTTCAACTAGAGTTCTCACAATTTGGTCCTATCGAGTATGCAACTGTCGTCAAAGATAGGAATACAAATGAGTCTAAAGGCTTTGGTTACGTGAAATTTAAGAGAGTATCTAGTGCCGCTAGAGCATTCGAAGAATGCGATAGGAAATACAAAGCTGTATTTGCTGAACCAAAAAAACCAAAACCTGAACACATGGATGTGAAATATAATAATGGATTGTCTTCTCATTATGACAGTGCTGGTGGAAATTATAGTTCGTCAAATTTTGGCAAGAGCAGTATTAGTTTAGAAATTGCTACAAATTATCCTAACTCTGAAGGTTATACACATTTACAAGTAATTGCACATCCAGCATTAAATCAAGATCAATTATGGAAATTGTTTGATATCGTACCTGGTTTGGATTATTGTCATCTGAAAAATGATGTTAGATATAGGATGCCGAGAGGGCAGGCTGTTGTAGTGTATTCTAATCCTAGTGCTGCAGCATATGCAAGAGAAAAATTTCACGGTTTTGAATATCCTCCCGGTCATAGGATGATTGTTAAACCAGATCTATCAAGTGTACCTCCAAAAAGTGTTGTAAAACCTGGAAGTTCAACAGGTGGAATAGCCAATACTAGAACAGATTTAGCTCATTTGGCGGAAACCATTGCTCAAGCTACATCTTTAATTCAAGCTGCAGGGTTAACCGCACCAAGTGAGACATTATTTCATATATACAATTTGATAGTAATTTTCTTCATTGGATAACATTTCATTACCTTTCAATTAGGTTTAGAACATTCTATGTGTATCAAATTGCCACCTGTACAGCCAATGGCTAGTATAGATGCAGAGGTGGCAAAAAGATGTTTTATTGTATGTGGTCCACCGGTACCACCCATTTATGCTATGAAGGATGCTTTCTGCAGATTTGGAAACCTCATAGACGTGTATATGCTTCCAGGAAAAAATTGTGGATATGCTAAATATGCCAGCGTCGAAAGTGCAAATGAAGCAATTGAGGTATGTTGAATAATAATGCAGTACAATGTTCAATCTGTAATTCGAACAGTATATACTCGAATGAAAATTGGATGAAATTAATTAATAATTTCTAAATAAATTTTTATGATAGGCCCTGCATGGACAAGAAATTTGTGGGTCACGATTGAAAGTACTAGAAGCAGAAGAGCGCAACGTTGGTGATGATCGTAGAAAGCGATTACGAATGGATGAAGATGACAATTAATTTTTTTTTTGTATACCTCGTAAGTACATCGCCGAGCCCATGGCAAAGAGAAAATGAAAGAGGAGAGAAAGAGGGAGGCATTTAAATATTAACACCCTGACGTTGTAACTGACGATTACTTTACTTGGAAAACAGGGGAAAATGTAATTTTTCTATTTATCTTCACAGACTGACTGGTATACACAAGCTGGACGCACGCAATAAAAGAGACGAATTTTAAGACTCACTTGACCACGTCGGGCCCGCATCCAAGGAAACTACTCCAACTACCTACTTTTAACTATCGCTTACGTTCGCGATTTCAACGTTACTGAACTTTAACGATACTTTACTTTATCCTTACATATCTTTACACATACACCTGACTTCCTAATTTTATTATTTTAAGAGGCCTGTGCGAAAAGTGATCTTAAGCGATCTTAATTCAATTAAAAAAAAATACATAATACACACAAAAGTAGGTAGAGTTGAAACTACTTCCTTTTAGGTAAGGAAGGTACATGATACTTAAAATGTTTATTGTTGTTATGTTAATATACTACAGATATTAGCCACAAGTAAGAGGATTTCTATATATCTGTATATCTGTACTTTTGTATCAAAATCATGTTTTGATGAAAATTTTTCCACATATACTTCTCTGTATATTGAATGAAATGAAAACCTTCGAAAAGGAAACAAAAGATAAAATTATCTTTAAAAAAAGTTTATATTCTTGTTTGTAAAACAGGTATAATAATTATGAATAATAATATCAATTTAACTATTCGCGCAGGCTCTAAAACACAATCTTGTGCTTTAGAGTTAGTGAAACCAGTTTTCGTTTATAATTTATATTTAATAGTTCTATACTATTCTTTTCTTAGCTATACTGTGTATGGAAGAGAACGTAAAGTAATTCTTGTACATCTTTCGAGGAATATTTTCGTAAAAATAATCTCAAAACTTGGTTCCAAAACAAGATATATTCTCTGATAAGTGTTTATTTTTTATGTTTTGCGAACGTAGTTTTATCTACTAGTGGTAGAGTAACATATTTTTATGAAAAAATTTAGAGAATGCAGAGCATGTTCCCTAACGAGAATGATAACATCACGGCTATATTTTTTAATACTTAAATTATAGTCTAAAAACTCAGTTGCTGAGTAATTTTTTAGTATGTTTTACATACGATAATTTAATATTAGATACCAGTGAAATTTTAGTAATGTTTTTTTTTTTTATATCTCTATATAATCATGAGAATTTTTATACGCCAAGAAAATATTAAGTTTAAGTTATACAGAGAAGCTATCCAAATTTTTACTAAGGTGTGGGTACATCTTGTTTTGGAAATACATCACGTATGTTTACGTATGTAGATATATTTGCATAAAATATATCAGCATGTTGTTTTCTTACAATTAATTTGAGTATTATCAAGAAACGTACGATTTCTTAGACAATTAATATTACGTCCATGATCACAATTTCGTCAAATACCAATTATTGACGCACAACATAAACCCTTTTATGGTGGACACTTTTGTACGTGTGTTAGACTGTTTTACTCAATGACCATACGCAATGATGTTTTAGGAGACTGTAACTGACTTGTTTGATGATATTAAATACACATTAAGTATTGAAAAACTTACACTGACTTTCACTTATTTTTTTTTTCAAATTACAATGAACGGAGTGTCCTGCTTTGCATGTGTATAACTGATTGACTTGACATGTTCTTTCTTTTCACTTACAGGATACCTGAAGGATTCAAAGATGCGTACCTGATGACTGTGATATAGCAGAGTAAGATATGTATATATATATGTATATATACATACATATAATTCTCGAATTTTGTACATATATCAAACGTTTAAAGACAAGAAACAATAAATTATCATTTTATATTGTTTCTTGCTTTTATTATTTGTTTAAAAATATTGCATCAGTTACAAAGTAATTGTATTTTTTTAAACAAAGTTTTTCTCTTTGTAATGTGATCGACTGTTTATAATTTATTGTTTTTAAAATATTTCTTTTATATTTTCATAAAGCAGTGTACAATAAAATTGTTTTTACAGAAGGATCGTATATGTATATTCTGCCTGTTTCCTAAACATTTATGTTCATTCGTATCCCCGAGATCCTCGATTCGGGGACCCATCGAATTGATCCGAATTCCCAGCAGGTGTCACAACGACCATGTGGGGAAAGTAGAATTTTCGCAGCCGAAAATTTTTCTATTGAAACACCAACGTGAAAAGTCGTTATTTAGGAGGAGACTATTTTAATCGCGTTTATCGTTCGCGAGGTTTTAAGTGGGGCACGTTTTGCATCGATATAGGTTAACGGGGAAATAGTGGGGGTAGCGGCTCACGTGTTTCCAAACGTGCTGTATGATGCGGAACAGCGAAACAGTTGCACCGCGCGAAAGACATGCGATGTTCGGAACGGTTCAGTCTTCATAGATATCACCGCACGGACGACATCGTAGTGTGTTTATGTATTTATTGTGAACTACCAGAAATAATTCAGTGAAGCTATTCATTTCGCTGTTACCTTCATTCGGATCTCAAAGAAATATCTATATGATCGAACAGGTGGTGCACCATTTCAAATCATTAAATTGTTAACTGTGATCTCGAGATTCGTAATCCTACCGTTTCTTCTTTCTCGCGATCATTGCGAACAGCCGGTTGACCGCGATATATTCCCTCCCTTGTCGGTTCTTTTTAATTATTTTTAAATACCGAGAATTGTAGAAATGACGCGTGAACATCGAGTTTCTTTAATTTAGCAGCAGTGTTTGTGACGTTACGGATATCGTCCTGAAGGGATCCTACCTTGGAAATAGAACAATGGAGGAGGTGTCCACCGAAAATGCCAAGGTGTCGGATTCCGGATATTCCAACACCTGCAGCAATAGTCAGTCGCAACGGAGGTACGTGAGAAATATATCTTTTTCTCTGTTATTATCATGCGCGTTTCAAAGCATGCACGTTGAACCCGGTCCCAAAATGGCGCGCACCAATTCGAAAATGTCGCCGCGGATTTCAAATTTCGTACCATCCCGTGACAAACGATCCAAGCGATAACAACCATAAGTTCTTCGATGTGTTTATCGATAAGCATGAATCGGTAGTTTTTCGCAGAACTTTCGTTCAAGCCGATATTAACAAATGGATGTAGCGTACAGAGAAACGAATTAACATTAATTTATTTATTTTATATTTTTTAATTATAATATATGCATGCGCAAACGTTAATGATCACAGATATTAATGATTCTGAAACATGTGTTCTCTGATTTCAATGTGTTCTTTACAGCAATTGCAGTATTACAGAGATTTCGTATATTGTATACGTTCGATAGTTAAAATAAACGAAATGGACGACGACAAAAAGATTTTAAGCGAAACGTTCGATTCTACATTGCAAGCTTATAATAACACGTTTTTATTCAATTACGTGCATCACGTAGTTATCTATATCCCCAACGTTTAACAAACATTTGTGCCGGCCAACATACACATTGTATCGGCCTCTTATCTGCTGCATATCATGCACAGAATTCCATCATGTATGGTAATCGAAATGCTATTTTTAACGTTGTGAGAAACAAATACAGAAAGATCTATGGTGGATGATAAACATGTAAAATAGTTCACCTTGGATTGTATTATCAAAGGATAATAAATAGCCCCGCTTTAGTTTATTCCAGTTTATGCATCTGGTTTATTTATACCATCGTAGCGACTGTTATCTATTACTAGACCGCGCATTTTTATGCAAAACAACATTTTTCTGCATCCGTTGCGAAAACAAAACAAGAGTAAATAGCTTTCGCCAGTAGCTAAATAGCTTTCGTCGATCCTCCAGATAAATATATATATAGATTTTCACAGTTAATTCGTTGTTTTTGTTCGAACTTCTACGAAATTGCATTTATTACGGATATTATGAATTATTCCGTGGAAAACGTGCGATATTAAATATGGCCGGTGTTTTGCGGCTCCTCGTCGAGACCAGAAACCTTACGAAAGGTTTAAGTTTCGTAACGATTTCATCTTGGCGCGTTCCTACTTTCTTATTTCCTACGGACTGCTGTCCGAATACTATTTCTATTCTTTATTTCATAGAATCGAAATACATTTAATCGCAAACTTTCCTTCAATTTAAAACATTTCATCCTTCAAACGCGTCCTCTTCGATTCGTTAAAAAATTCCTTCTGCCCTTACCATAGATAACAAAATGGCTACCGTTTCAGCTCTACGATGCTACGACATTTTTACAACAAAATTGATCTAAAAATATAATCGTCGTGCAAGCCAATCGGTCCAATTTCGATATACAAAATGGAGACGCCGTAGGCCGATAGAAATGTTTCGGTTTTAGGGTTGAAATAGCTTCGAGCATCATCTATTATAGCTTCCGAAGTTAGCAAATGTATTTTGAAATGTCCTTTGAGAATTGAAACAATTATGGACGAAGCCGTCGACGAAGGTGTTCGAATAACTCGTCTTTGGAATTAGATGTAGCCTCGCGTGGAAATAATAGTTAAGGGTAGCTTCGACATCGCGCAAGCGCCGGCAGCTTTCGAAGGTTTTTTTGCAAAGAAGTCGTCGACGAAGGTGTTCGAATAACTCGTCTTTGGAATTAGATGCAGCCTCGCGTGGAAATAATAGTTAAGGGTAGCTTCGACTTCGCGCAAGCGCCGGCAGCTTCCGAAGGTTTTTTTGCAAATGTATCGCAAGAAGCCGTCGGCGAAGGCGTTCGAATGTTCGTAGGGTGTTAGGACAGGTAAGCTGGCACCTCGGCGGATAGTAGCGCAGGATGCTTGGCATTGACACGCTTTGTTACTCAATAGGCGAGAGGCAGACGGAAAGTCCGTGTAACAAGAAAGACGGAAACTCGAACACTACGGTTAAGGCTAACTAGTTCCTCGGCGAAGCATGCATTTCCACGTTCGCAATTTAACACACCTATGCGCTATGCCGGGTTGCGACACCCGCTGGAAACAGGTCGTACGAATGCGAGATCACCGATTACCGCCGCCTTACCGAAACTTGCCAGATTGATATGCCTCCGGTGGCCCAATCGCGGGGCTCCGTTAATTGCGAGAGCATTTTTCAAACGGGGACTTAGCGCGCTTGCGAAACGCGTAATTAACGAGCGAAACGTTGCTACGAACTAGGCCGCGTTGTCGATGTTTACGCCGATTTTACGTGTTTCAGAGGCGAAGTGTCCTCGCCGGGCGCCAAAACCGACGTAGACTTTCTCTCTAACATGCAGATGCAATTATTTTTCTGCAATTATTCACTCTCGGCTCTCTCTCGCCGTAGCATTACACGCGTTGCTTGCCGAAGACAAATTGCTAATTCAACCCTTCCACGCAGATTGGATCCATCTGACCCAAAACGGAGCTACGAATTCTTATTCGGCTTTATTTAAATAAATCGCGGACTTTTGTGCAGAATAAAAATTCTCACACATTAATTGCAAACCGTAGGAGTCAATCAGAACTTGTTTTCCTTCTTTAACAATTTCAACGAGATCAAATTAATTATAATTGATTACAATGAATTGTACATCGACAGTTTTACTTTCCTTTAATCTTCTCGCTGTTTCAACCTGCCCCTTTTCGATCATAAAATCGCGGATACCAGGTTTCTTTACGCGCCTGACCTTCGTTAATCTTGCCAGAATAATGATCGTTAATCAGCCATTAACAGAAGGGGTTAGATCGTCGTAGCTCGCGTCTGATTGCTCTGCAATGTTTCCAACGACGTTCGCCGCAACGGGGTTGAACAGAGGGACGCCGGTTGAATGTACACGTTGTATTTCTAGCATTGTACCTTTAATTAACGTGGATACGTGCAATAGACAATAGGGATCCTCTGTAATTACACCGGACATCGTGGGCGTTACGACCGGATTTTACCCAGACAATTAACAGATGCTGATAATTATACATGCGTCGTGTGTCGACTCTGAATTCTCACGTGTTGCTTTACAAACGAAATCTCGTATACACCGTAAACATTGATTACGGAGTGAAACGTGATGCGTTCCAAGAACCGCGGAGAACACTCATAAATTCCGTCCGATTCGCGATCCGTTTCCGTGTGCACAATGGTGATCGAATTCGAACAATGTCCACCGCTCGCGGGGGAAAAGGCACGTTGGTTGTCCCATGCACGGGGTGTCCCGAAAACCTTGGGACAGCCTATAGGGTGGTCATTTGATACACAAAAGTATAAAAGCGCGAGGCTTTCTTTTCGCGGAAGATCGACTTGAAAAACGATATTTAATCTACCGGGGCGCGTCTGACCATGGTCTACCAATTCTACTTCGTCTCTGCGCTAGATGCAGCCATTGTTACGCGCTTATGAAACCGAGAATTCGCACAAACGTGTGCAGCCTAGGATAATAATAATGTTAAAATATTTTCGTCGCGACAAAGAGCGTCGAACAAATGGAAACGCAATTGGTAATTTGCGAAAACGGAAGTCGGTGCAACGGAACCGATTAAACGATAGAAGCAGGCACCCTTTGTTCGTGTTCCGAAGATGTACGTAATTAACAAATTATTCGATGGAAACGAACAATGCGCCGATGATCGAAATAAATTCAGTTACTGAAATACGCCTGGTCGATGATACATAAACGTGAAACATTGGGATGCAAACGTGATCGTATTACGTCATAGTTTAATTGAATGCGTGCATACGGTTTCGCTGGAAAGGGCACGGACTGCATGTTATGGCAGGTGATATGTGTTTGTTTGAGTTATAAATAATTTGCGGTTATTGTCACGTTAGCTCAAGACACGCACCGCGGACGTTATCAAATCATTCGGAATTATTTGCTAACGTTGGGCCGAGTAATTGTTACCGATCCTCAACGTTCGTTTCGCTCTTCTCGATTTAGCCATTCTTATTAATTTAGTAATTCTTATATATTTCTTCGTAATTTCGTTACAATTTCGTGATTTTACTGCGCCTCCCGATCGCGTCTCTTTTACAACATTCATTCATCGCGATTCGAACGCATTAACATTGCTCTGAGAAACGATTTTACCGTTCAACAAATGTTGCTATTTTCCATGAAATGCTAACTGAATTTCCACATTGATCGAACAGTTGCGCGAATACACCGCGGATTTGTCGCATGTCGTGACGAAAACGGGTCGAAGCTGCGAAGACATCGGAGGAATTTCCGGATACACGTTACGTTATTTCGAACTCGCTGCTATCGTTGAAAGTTGAAAGACATTTTTCTCGGTTTTATGCTTGCCGCAACGAACCGTCGGGCCACCTTTATTTCGCAGAGAGATGATCCCACCGATCGGCGCGACATTTAGGCAAATTATAATTCCATATTTCGTAAACGCAAAGGTTTCCTTGGCACCATTCGGAATAGAGGCCTGTGCAGAATCGATATCCGGGCTAAAGACACGTACGTTCGACGGTTCTAGTCACGGGGCCACGAGCGTGAAAGAGACCTTCTTATGCAATAATTTTTCCTAGCGAACGAGGTGCAACAAATGTAGGAGCCTCGTGCCTGTTCCCTGGCAAATAATGAGGACAGTGAAAGGCCAGAAAGACCCCCGTCGTAAGGGCCGGCGGTCGCGGCGGTCACGTTTGCCGAACATGTGATCGATACTTTTTTTCCCCATTCCGTAACCGCTTTCAGAGATTTTGTGTCAGCGAGTAGTCATATGACTTTCTCGCGCGCCGGTTTAATCGGCCAATGGGCCGAGGCCGTTTTTCCTGTTCGAGAAATAAGTCTTTGCCGATCGCTGGATTCTCGTCGTTGTGCAGCCACCCGTTTCAGTGCCACACGTCGATCGCAACGATCCACGACCGGATCCTAGCCACCGCGAGGTTGCACACGATCTTGCACTTGCCGATAAAGTCCCCCCGCGATCTGTTCAATTAGGCGTTATCATCTTCCGCGGCAATCGAATCGAGATCGCCGCTTCTTCGGAGCAGGAAGCAACCTAAATGCGACCTGAACGCGACTAACTGTACAAGTTTTGCAGTCGGAGTTAGTGCTTTCGTATTTATTTATTTATCGATGCTTCGAGCCAGATGGTTTATTTAGCAAATACAGGGTGCATTACATTCTTGTGACACAGTAAATTCTCTCTGATTTTTCTTTCAACTTGTAAGCAAACGTGAACGATTTGAGAAGAGGAGATACGATTGTTCGAGGCTTCGACCTCGTTTTTATAATTGTCGACGATCGGCAACTATAAAAATGAGCCGCGAGGCTCGAATAATCGTATCTCCGTTTCCCCGAATTACCTATGTTTGTTTGTAAACTGCAGGAAAATTAGGAAGAATTTACTGCACCAGAATCTAGACTCTAGGACCTGTCTGCTTCGCTCCGGTTTGCATAGGTTTCCGGATGTATGTTCCTAGATTGAGTCCAAGAATTCGGCGATACTTAAACTTGGGACTGTAAATCGGCTGAAATGAGCTCTTTGTTGTGAACCAAAAAGATATTTTCTGTCCGTGGTTGGCTTGGTTCTGGGTTACTGGAAGTAGTGTCTTCCTGCCTTTGGTCGGACGAGCTTAGAATTCGAGTACACTTGATGCTGACAAGAATCGCACTTTCACCGTTATTTAAAGCGTTGTTATTACCATCGACTATCGTAAAATATGAATAAGACAGACTTATTATTATATTATATTGCACACATCGGTTATTAACGAGACGTGTGAGGAATGAGAGGCATAAAATGCACGTAATGTAAAACCGGGCCCANTCGGTTTTATGCTTGCCGCAACGAACCGTCGGGCCACCTTTATTTCGCAGAGAGATGATCCCACCGATCGGCGCGACATTTAGGCAAATTATAATTCCATATTTCGTAAACGCAAAGGTTTCCTTGGCACCATTCGGAATAGAGGCCTGTGCAGAATCGATATCCGGGCTAAAGACACGTACGTTCGACGGTTCTAGTCACGGGGCCACGAGCGTGAAAGAGACCTTCTTATGCAATAATTTTTCCTAGCGAACGAGGTGCAACAAATGTAGGAGCCTCGTGCCTGTTCCCTGGCAAATAATGAGGACAGTGAAAGGCCAGAAAGACCCCCGTCGTAAGGGCCGGCGGTCGCGGCGGTCACGTTTGCCGAACATGTGATCGATACTTTTTTTCCCCATTCCGTAACCGCTTTCAGAGATTTTGTGTCAGCGAGTAGTCATATGACTTTCTCGCGCGCCGGTTTAATCGGCCAATGGGCCGAGGCCGTTTTTCCTGTTCGAGAAATAAGTCTTTGCCGATCGCTGGATTCTCGTCGTTGTGCAGCCACCCGTTTCAGTGCCACACGTCGATCGCAACGATCCACGACCGGATCCTAGCCACCGCGAGGTTGCACACGATCTTGCACTTGCCGATAAAGTCCCCCCGCGATCTGTTCAATTAGGCGTTATCATCTTCCGCGGCAATCGAATCGAGATCGCCGCTTCTTCGGAGCAGGAAGCAACCTAAATGCGACCTGAACGCGACTAACTGTACAAGTTTTGCAGTCGGAGTTAGTGCTTTCGTATTTATTTATTTATCGATGCTTCGAGCCAGATGGTTTATTTAGCAAATACAGGGTGCATTACATTCTTGTGACACAGTAAATTCTCTCTGATTTTTCTTTCAACTTGTAAGCAAACGTGAACGATTTGAGAAGAGGAGATACGATTGTTCGAGGCTTCGACCTCGTTTTTATAATTGTCGACGATCGGCAACTATAAAAATGAGCCGCGAGGCTCGAATAATCGTATCTCCGTTTCCCCGAATTACCTATGTTTGTTTGTAAACTGCAGGAAAATTAGGAAGAATTTACTGCACCAGAATCTAGACTCTAGGACCTGTCTGCTTCGCTCCGGTTTGCATAGGTTTCCGGATGTATGTTCCTAGATTGAGTCCAAGAATTCGGCGATACTTAAACTTGGGACTGTAAATCGGCTGAAATGAGCTCTTTGTTGTGAACCAAAAAGATATTTTCTGTCCGTGGTTGGCTTGGTTCTGGGTTACTGGAAGTAGTGTCTTCCTGCCTTTGGTCGGACGAGCTTAGAATTCGAGTACACTTGATGCTGACAAGAATCGCACTTTCACCGTTATTTAAAGCGTTGTTATTACCATCGACTATCGTAAAATATGAATAAGACAGACTTATTATTATATTATATTGCACACATCGGTTATTAACGAGACGTGTGAGGAATGAGAGGCATAAAATGCACGTAATGTAAAACCGGGCCCATTTCCTTGCATTGTATGCTGAAGTAAATAAATAAATAAATCTAATCTAACACCGACTATTTAATAGTTCGTTATTACAATCGATCTAACTGTGTGTTTCAGCAGTGGCAGCTCGTTATCAAGGAACAGCAATCGATCCGAGAGCAGTGGCTATTGCGGCAGACGTCCCTCGACATTTGGATCCAGGTAATATTCAATCCTTATATAAATAACCTCCTTATTCATAACCTATATATGTATATATATATTATATATGTATACATATCATCTTATTTCTATATGTCTTTCCCTCTCTGCTCTTTTTTCCTTTTTTCTCTTTGCTTGTACTCACGCGATTGCTACATAAAATCTCTCTATTCGTATCATTTCTTCGGTAACAAAGGGTCTTTCAGCCCGCATACATGAATATATAAATTATTATTACTATTATTATTAGTACGCCCTCGAATGTCCCTCGACTCCGAATGTCCCTCGATTGTCCCACGAACAGCGATCGCGTTTCGCGACGAGTCTTATCGAACAGACGAAATCACGATTGCGTGTATTCCTGTACACGAAACTCTGATAAACGCGATTGACTGCAGTTACGCAAATTATTTACAGTCTAATCGTGTCCTCCGAACACAAACAGAAAGGAATCCAGTGGAAAGTAACTGAATTCTTTTTGCTGTTCGCGAGCTTTACGTAAGAGATAAACTTAGCGAAGTGTCACAGACTCCGGGCAACGTCTGCTACACCGTTTAACTGACAGCCATTTCTTCCGTGACATTAAACAATAGCACGGCTCGTTATCAATTGATTGGAGCCGTTGCAAAGTATCGAGTCGCCGCAACAGCGATTTCGGGTTTCCGTATAGACAGAGCTTACAAAACAATCTACGTAGCTACTTTTGCAACAACAAAACTATATTTTTGACTGAAAAAAAAATTATTATATAATCATATATGATATATTATATATACATATATCATAAAATATGCTAAAAATGTCGTCGAAGAGAAGCTATAAATTCTCCAAATCGTCCATTTCCATGCGCAGTCTGAGCGCGAATTAGGCAGAAACTACTGCAACGGTTACGTCACGACGACACGGCAAAGTGCTTAAAAAACAAACAAATACCGGCATAGTGCTGAAAATGTTTCCATCTCCGGTCTCTGCGACATTGCATACACAATTATAGCCGGTCGCCTAGAACGCAGTTCGAACATCGTAATCGCCGAGTACAATAAATAATAGAACCGACCGCAATTAGAATAACCAGTCCGGCGGGAAAGAAATGCATATCATTTCGCATTTAATCAACGGTGTCATTTTTAGAAAGATTACGCAACGGCCGACTCTGCTGCCGCTGGTTAGGGTTGCACGCGGCTTCTCGTTACGACCGGTCGTCCCGAAAACGTTCTTTTCATCTTACGAATCCCCGTCGTTCGTCATCGACGGCCGCACGTAACGAAACGAGTACGTGCATCGGCGTCGCCGCTGTGCGTTCCCGTCCACGGTGTGGGTGCGTACGTGTGACCAACGGCCGGCAGCTCTATAATTATCGCCGCGATCGTGAAGGTGACACAGCGCGCGATCGCGATCGCACCCGTGCCCGCACTCGCGAATTTCCAGCGAGTGCGCGAGTGCCCGAGTACCCGGGAGCACTCGGGAGCGCTCGGGAGTGCCCGGGAGCGTCCGGGAGTGCTCGAGAGTGCTCGCGCGCGCGCGCGCGCACCAGTCTGCGGTGCAGTTAGTTACGAGGCTGCGCCGCAGCTGTAAACATTGGTGCATGTGCCGTGCCACGTGCCCCGCAATGTCGCCATCGGCATCGGCGTCGACCTACGTGGCAACAGATATCCCCCCGCGCCGTTGCATAATCCGGATGCTCCGGCGCGTTGTAATAATAAATCCCCGACGAATCCGCGAATTACAAGCTGCTGGTCTATTTTCGATTCCGCGGTGGGCGTTTCGGGGAAAAAATAATTGCGCGCACGGTCGCCTTGATTGCAGAATACTCGCTGGAACGCGAACAAGGCGACGTGTTCGTTTCTCTCGTTTTCATCTTGACGAGACCGTTGTCGGCTCTTCGGCTTTCTCTGGGACGGGTTTTGAACCCTTTATACTTAATTACCCTTAATACTTACCATTATTTATTTGTCCGAAACAAAAGAAAAATTGGCGTCTAATGCATAGATTAAAGTTGAAGATTTATTTGCTAGAATTGTGAACAGATAAGAAGAATTTGACAACGTAGTTGCGCTATTTTTCACGGCTTATTAAAATCAATTTTAACAATTGGGAACAGTTAATTTTTAATTAATGTCGGTTCCTCGCATTTACTGGTCTTGGAAAACCGTCCATTTGGTCGGTCGAAATCGTCGCCGGTGTAATCGAAACGTTTGCTTAAACGACACGCCTCGTTTTCTCGCGGTCTCATTGGTCTCCGCCTATGGGTTGCACGCTGGTCGAGCCAATCAGCCGTGCATGCATCAATGCGCCTGCTTCCCAGGAAAGTTTCCGTGAGAGAGAGAGCTCCGACGTTCGTTTCAATTCTCTGATTCGTCTGGTGTCACGCTCGCATGAAGGTCGCTCTTGCTGATTCTGATTCGGCGTTCAATGTTCCTCGGGCATTAACATGGATGCGTTCGCGTTTTTTCACGGAGATTTCAACGAACGCGTTCTTCCATTGATTCTAGATACAAGAGGTAGTGAGAGACAAAGATAGAGAGGGGGGAGAGAGTAAGAGAGAGAGAGCAGTGTTAATACTTCCGTCCTAAAACAAAAAAGTAATTTATGAGATATTAAAACTTCAAGTGGGACATTATAGCTTACACATACAAGTACACGTGTAGCAAATGCACACAGCAATATAGGGGTATCAAAATATCAAAATATCAAATTTTCCAGATAGAACCCTTTCGTTTTAGAACGGCAGAACAGGACCAAATGCGACGATGATTAATTTCTTGCAGCCAAGAAATAAGATAGGTCGGGATGCCTCATCATCATTAGTCCGCGGAACTTTGTATAAAATAAAAATCTTCTTACAACAAATAGAGATGAAATAGAACGACTTATTACAATAATATGATCGCATAAAATCAGCGATCCACGGATCGCCGTAAAATTATGCAACGTATAAAAGTCTGACGCGGCTCGGCGAGTATTAAACACGTCCATTAACAACGTCTTGCTGACGCAACAAGAACATGCATAAAATATCTGATCCGACACTGTAACAGTTTCCGATGTACAAATGACTATCTCCGTTTTAATTGCACGTCTCATGCTCGCTAATATGCATAAGCGGCGTGCTCGAACGAACTTCAACATTTCTGGGCCTCTTTAAACGGCGAACACGGAAGGGACGCGTTATCTCATAGAGAAAGCTTAGCGTGATCGTTAGAGAAATGCACTTCCTTGACGTTGCATAACCATCGGTGGTCACGACGCGATCGAGAAACGTTTGTTATGCCGTCTAAATTTTTTCGCGACCGGTGCTTTTCCTGGAGAAAGCTATCTCACGACTCGCTCCGGGCCCCGTTCAGACTCCCACATCCCTCTGTCGCGGCTGTCCCATTGCCGGCTAATCGACGAAACTTACGTTTCACCTGAACGAGCTTTTACGTAACACGTGCGAGCCTTGCGTCTCGCGTTCGCATGCACGTCCACCGTGCACGTCTTCCGTTTGTTGACTCAGCGAAAAATCCCGACGATATATCTTTAGACGGTGTGTGTACTATTCGTATCGGCGCCCGACAAACTGACCGAAGAACCATCGATGGTTCCGTGTGTTGTCGCGTTATCGTCGCCGACGCTCGTGCCTCTCGTTTCGCGGTGTCTGCGGATGTCTCGATAAGATCCCGCCGTTTGTAGCGTAGCACGTTGCCTGCCACGTGCTCGCTGACGCCATTCAGTTCTCCGGGAAAGGAACCGAGGTCCCGAACACAGCAAAGGCTCGCTCGGTTACAGGCAATCGAAGATTCGATCCTAAAATGGTAGCCTTAGATCGCGAAGCGTTGATCTCGATGAGCTGCGACTTTTCCGAAATGCTTTTAGGTAGACTTCGATGAACGGAAGAATACGATTTTGTTATATTTAATATATAATGTTTGTGTCGAACGCAGCAATGGAGCCCTGCCGCAGCCGATCAGCAAAAGAAAGGACAAGGAGCACAAGAAGAAAAAGTCGAAGATTTTGGCTGTCAGCGTGGAGGTGGACATTGGCTTGAAAAGCGGCAGCACGCCGCCGGAGACTGTGCCCTATAATGTCGTTGTGCCATCGAAAACAATACTCGAGAAGAAACCAGGTTAGTTGCGATCTAGATCTAGATTCTAGATATCGGCCAGGAAGGAGTGCATGGTAAAAACTGTTCGACGAACTTTTCTCTATTTAATCGGAGAGATTCGAAGCTAAGTTCTAATATAATTTCGTAGAAATTGTCACGAATTAATTATAGTAACTAATAAGTTATGATATCATTGTTCTAAATTAGTTGTAACAACCAGCGAGTTGTAATCGTTGATCATTGATCCGATTCCAAGGCGGACATCGCGTTTACTTGTACCACCGATTTCTGCGGACCGGCGAAAATTCGCCTAATCGTCGACAGATTGATACGAGAATGGAATGTTTTCGAACACACGCGATTCGCACTTAATTCTTTTTGCACTCGAGACTATTTTAATTATTTATTGTTTTTTTTACATATGAAATTGAATGTGTATGCTTATAGAAGGCTTCTATTATTCGACAATTTATCGAATTCGGAAAGATATAATAACGTAGAAATTCTTTTGAAAACAGCGTAGCAATTTCTAGCGTCGCCTCGGAGTCGCCACTCGAGTGCAAAGGGTTAATAATTCGGTTTCGTGCATTCCTTCCTGCAATTAAGGCTCCGCTTGCTTTCCAGCTGAAGGCTTCGAAAGACCCGGCGATCCTGCACCCACGCACCTCCTGAAAGTCACCTCAGTCACAGATATCGGTACTCCGTAGTAGTATAGTCGGTGAATTTTCACCGACGATCATTTCGATCATCTTCGAGAATCCACAATTCACAGTTAACAGCTTCTCGACACTTTTTTTTATCTGCCGCCGGTTTTCTAACGATTCTTTCGAAATCGGAGATCGAGAGTTAAGCGGTATAAAAAAGAGGTATCCGATCGTGCAGACGCGTTCCACCGAGATCTAAAGTACATCCGCTATCACGAGAAAGAAAGACCAAGTTCTCCGTTATCTCTGAAAGAAAGAGACAATGCTAGAACGAGCCTAACGTGTAAACAGTGCACCGGCAGCGTCGATTGTTTCGAATCTAGCACACCGCCGTCTTCGACGTCTAGATGCAATCCCGCGGCTCTCTTGCCGCGCGGCAAGAGATAAGTAAGAATAGCCTTTCTTGCGTAATTGCCCCGTAATTTAATCTATCAATTGAAACACGCGGGCCGTGCAATCACAGCGGATAAAACGCGTGACCGCCGCACCGTCGTCGATCCAACGAAACGAGCCCGCGGATCCCCGTCTTAGGTGAACGGCTATAAAAATAGGGAAAAAACGGCGGTTCGTCGTTCATCTCGGTGACGAAGGTACGCGTCGCTCGGCCCGAAATATTCGAAACGTTTCCGAACTATTGGCGTTTACATAATCGGTACTATTCTGCGAACAAAGGGCGGATCGGTCTCTCTCTCTCTCTCTTTCTATCCGCCGGTCTCGGCCTCTCTCTCTCTCTCTCTCTCTTTTGCTCCCGATCGGTCCAACTATAGCAATGACGAGCGGATATTCCATCGTGTGTTTTATATAACATCGGGAAGCGCCACGCCGATTTACGTAATTATTTACATAATTTTTAATAATCCATTATCGGCCGTCCGATATCCGCGAATAGGCTTTTTTCGTCGGCCGTTACGAGCCGATCTGGACCCGATTCGATGATTACGAGCCTTGACGCGCGGCCACCGCTCCTGCAACAGGATATCCAACGCGAGAATAGATCGGTTACGTAAGAGCCGCGGCTCGTTGCTAGTTCGTTGCACGACAAGCAACTTCGTACCCGCGTAACTTGCCGGAGTTTTCCCGCGATCACCGAACACACGGCCCGAGCCGACACCGTCGACGGAATCGGTATCGGAATCGTCGCGAGGCGACGGCCAGGCCCCCATATCGTCGCGATAACGCGCGCGTCCCAGCCGCGAACGATCGTCCGAACGCGATTCCGACCGAGAAAAATGATCTTTGTCTTCTATAAATATGCCCTCGATTTGTAACTTCCTTATCTATCGATTACCTTCGACGATAATTTAGAGACTGAATTTTCTATAGATCTCGGTAACTTGTACGCGAACCTGAGAACAGCGATGTCTCCCAAACTGGCGCTCAGTTTGCGCACAAAAATGGATAATTTGGGAAGAGGAGACGCGATTATTCGAGCCTTGCGGCTCGTTTTTATATTTCTTGACAATTCGTCCGCTACGAAAACGAACCGCAAGGTTCGAATAATCGCGTCTCCTCTTCCAAGATTGTCCATTTTTCTGGACAATCGGAGCGTCGATTAGAGAGACATTACTGAACTCCGTTGAAATCGGTTCACCGTGTTACGACCTGTTAACGTTTGGTGATCGTGAAATCGAATTATTTGCATCAGGGTAACATCGATTTTTGTCATCATCGCGATCTAACGAAATTTTTGTGTACTCGTTCTCTGGATCAACTAGTTCCTCTATCGTCTCGAAACGAATTCGAGTCGTTTAGTTTGTTAATCGAAGAATTTGTTTCGATACGGATGAAATTAATGATATTCATGTTTAATAGACTGTGTACGAGATCTTTGTCGCGACTCTAACTCGTTGCGAAGATAAGAGATCGTGAGATTGGAAGATAACGAATAAAACGCTAGCTGGATTCGCGGCGAGTAGTAGAAGCAAGCAATAGTCAGACGTGCCGTATACGGCCAACGCGCGGAGCTTAACGCTATTTTTATCGACCTATTTTAATCTCGTATATACTTACGCTTATCAAATTAATTTTAGAATCATTATAGGATATGTAACAGTGGCATATAAATTAAGTACGTGATAAATAATATAGAAAGAGATCGCATTTACAATTGGCCAAGATGATTTATGTCACGTTTTCCTAAAAATTCGAGCACGCGTTAAAGCGATTAATGCATTTCTCGTAATACTTTGTGTAATTACACGATGCTTTATGTTAAATAGAAAAATAGCAGTAACGACGATAAGACACGATTCGATAAGAATTCCTTTCCTTCGGAGATAAAGTAAAATTCGTCGAAAGCAAAAGCATGCAATTCGATAGAACTCAATCGCAATTGAGTTACAGTATAATACAATGCATACTCGCAGACAAAGTAACTATCAGTCACATTCATCGAATTGTGTAACGCAGCCGGAACATAATTAAATTGTGCAATTCGATTAAGATTTCTCACAATTAGCGCGACTCTGCTATAAATAAACATGTACGTGTTCCAGTCTCTCTTAAAAGCAAGCTGTATTTCTACCTTTACGTCCGGCGAAGACACAATTAAACCGACCGACTGTTTCATCGTCGACAATGATCGATTTCCCGGGAATAGTCACCGATTTCTGTGCAGAACATCCTCCCTATGGTTCCCGTGTCCTTCCTCGAAGCCGCATCTCACTCGAGATACATCTGCTCCCAACAATAAACCAAAAAGGCATCCCTGAAATATCCAGAGCCTCCACGAAACGTCTCCGAGAACGTACAATCCTGCTTCTTGCGTTCGAAACCTATCAGCATGTGTACGAAGAAGAAACGTGATATAACGATGAGAATTTTTGTTTGGCGTTAAAAACAAGAAGAAGTAACCACCGTAGAATTGGTGGATGCCACGGACCCTGGCGAGCACAACGGGGATACTGTCTCTGATCCGGAAGCAGGGATTGCTTCGCGAACGAATCCGCTGGACGATTCCACCTCTCAAGCCAACGTTAGTATTTTCACTGCGGCGAACTCAACAATCGGGAAACCAAACGCGGACAAGCTTGGCTAATCTAGATAACTGTGGTAGAGAGATTAGAGTTATGCGAATCGCTTCGGATTATGCCAATCGCTTCGAATTCCACTTACAGCGAATGCATGGAATTGTTCTCATAAAAATGCCTCGAAATCTGCGGTCTATCTAGGCCATCTAGTGCAAGTCGGTTTCGTAATAATCTCGATGGCGCAGAGTCTATCTCGAAGAAAATAGACTCAGCGTCTTCTAGGCGCCTAACACCGATATTATGGTTTATCTGCCAGCATTCATCTTGTGTTCCACAGGAGGGATTTTGCGCGGTGATCTCGATGCACGACGGCCTCGTGTTGTACACAACTCCCTCGATATGCACAGCTCTAGGATATCCGAAGGACGCGTGGATCGGTCGATCCTTTATCGATTACGTCCACCCTAAGGACAAGGGAACGTTCGCCGATCAGATCAGCAGCGGAATCGTCTCGCCGCACGAGGACAGGCCGAAAGGTAACTTATCTATTTTGCGCGACATTGTTTCGCGTAAAGATCGTTGCCAACGTTAATTGCAAGGAGCAGGAATTAACGCCCTAGTTTTACCAGAAATCCTATACTGTAATTTCTCTCGGAAATGTTCGGAGGTCGGAGTTGAAACCGCTAGATCCGAGAATCGCGATCCTTCGGGCCTCGCGGCTCGTTTTTGCAGAAACTCGGGACAGTCGACAAAAAAGCCAGCGACCAGCTTGCTGGCGCACATTAATATGAATTCATAGCGACGCCGGAATAAAAACGACGACTGAACTTTTTTATTTCTAATTTTTTGCCACGATTCGAACTTGTAACCGCGCGAGTTTTTTTTATCTGACTCACATCCATTTTGTAGTGTCCTTCGGGAACTCCGTCGACCCTTGGCATCGACGTAGCAATAAATTACATGGACGTAGAATCGGCACAGGGAAATTCACAGCATCCCGAAATTAGGCATTTCCGAGAGAGATTACTGTATTTTTTTATTACTGTTATGTTTTGCGTTCGCAAACGTGTTGTGCAAGACAATGTGTTCGTATCTTTGTCAGCAGGCATCAACGGCAGACGAGCGAGCTTGTTCTGCGGACTGAGAAAGTATTCGAGATCCATGGTCCACCAGGCGATCGGCCATCACTCGGAGGCTAGATCGAACTTGTACCTTCCGTTCCACTTGACGTTATCGTTCCGGGACTTTCGGGACCGGGCGACGGAGCAGCAACACAAAGCCATGTTCCTGGTGGTTACTGCCCAACCAGTTCATTCTGCATATAAAGGTAGCACGATTGAAGATCTTCGAGAAGTGCCGACTGACGAAAAGATTCGATTGATTCCTATTCGCGTCTTCGACAAATTCGAAATAGCGTTCGTTAGCCGGAAATCCACCGTGTGAGAAGACGAGGTGCACCGACCACGGTCGTCCCGTCGCAAAATTATCCGCGACGCTGAAAGTTTGCTTCCGCGAGCCGCCGCGGAAATCGGCTCTTTTGCACGCAAGCGTGGTATACGGATGAAAAATAAATCTCAGCGATTGCACGGAAGTTTCGAAAAGGCGTGCGGACTGTGTCGGAGGTGAACTTTTGCGACGACGGGAGCAGGGACGAGGCCGGCGCGCCTCGCGTTCGCACACGGTGTGCTCGAAACGGATGATGGAATCGAGTCGTTTTGTTAGTCTAATCTAATCGACGACACTACATGACTCGGTGGTTTCCATGGCGACATGCCTTATACGGAAGGTAATTTCTATTAAATCAGAATTGTTTACTCGAAGACTCGCGACGATGTTGATAGTCTCTCATCTTTGTCGTTTGCTCATTTATTCGTTTTTCTCGTCATCTGGCCAGTTTTTCGTTTTCGTTCAGTTTGGAGACCACTGTTTCGATGATTCATTTCAACGGAAACAATTCTATTCTAACATGCGCACTTCGCATCATCGTTTTTCGTCGATAGACGAAAGGCTTCACCCCATGCTTTGCTTGTCGGAGCCGTGTCGCAAACGTTAACGTTTATAATATAACCGCTTGTTGGTGTCTCGAGCGAAACGGGTCCGAGAAAGAGAAAAGAAACGATGCACGTCGAATGTTTCTCTTTTCTCGCGTTGTCGGGCGGAACGCGATCGAAAGAAGATCGAAAATATTTTCTGACTGAAATCTTGCGTCTAACAGTTTGGCTTTTTACCGTACGGCTTTCTGTGTGTGGTCTTATTGGCACAGAGAATAAGTAACAATATATTTATTTTCTTTCAAGCAGTCGAGATAGTAATTGGTGAAAGTGACGCGAAAAGATTATGCCACATCGTGGCGGTACGTTTTCGTTCGAGCTTGTTGATATTTCCAATCGAGATAAGTTATCAATTATCGTGCACATAAACGCGTCCAGGTACGACGAAGACGTACGTAACTTAATTGCTCTGGTTTCCTTAGCTGGCATATAATTTTCTAATTAAGCTTCATTCTCCCCTCGCTCTGGCATTAACGCTTACACGGAGAAGATTTCGCAATAATTTCTTTCCATGTTTGTGCGTTTCGTTTGTTCGTGTAGTTGTAGAGCGATGCAAGGTTGACTCCCGTTAGCGCTCGTCGGATAAAGAGAGAATCCATTATTTCAATTTATTTTTATATCTTTCCAATCGATCTTCACCAGAAATGCTGACTGCACCGTTTCTCCCATTAACAATTCGAATCGCAATCATTGGTTAATATCGTTGCTAAAATCATTATAACACACGAAAGTGTCCATTGGAAACTTGTTTCGAAAACGGCAGAATGTTTCAGATCCGATTTAGAATGATCTTTTTACTTTGAAACTTGCTCGTGCGCTTATCCATCGACCAGTTATAAAACATTGTAATTGCTTAAGCGAATTGCTTTAAGCTTGTTTAAGCGAATTAATGCGCTAGCCGAAGTCAGTCTTTCAGTGTGCCATGCTAAAAAAAAGAGAGAGAGAGAGAGAGAGAGCTACAGAGAAGCCTGTTGAAGGGTTCGCATGAACGAATGACCGAAACTGGCATTCGGTTGTAATCTAAATAGTTCTTTTGTTCCGAAGGTGTCGTGCAAAAATAATGTATCCTGTGTTATACGAAACGAATAAGGTGCGTATAAAACAGACGGAAAGGGAACGAGAGCGAGAGTAAGAGAGAGAGAAAGAGAGCGAGAGAGAGAGAGAGAGAAAAAAAGAGCAATAACGACTAACTGAACGATCGGATAGAGATAACGAAAGCGGTAAATGACGGTAATGATAAAAGTAACCAAACGAAAGGGAACAAAAAGAAAATATCAAACAAAAGAGCAAGTAAATCGCGCGCACGCAGGCTTTTCTGCGAAGGTACATTTGTAGTTGTTTTTTTGCTTTTAACGCGTGCCATTCAAATGACTAAAACTTTTCATTACGGTGGAACCGTCTGGCAAGAGATAGAATGACCCCGACCTTTGTTTTTATTATCGTTCTCCGCAGCGCCAGAAGAAACGATAATATCTTCGATATTCACGACCCGGCACACAGCGACGTGCTACCTATCCCATGTCGATCCCGATGTAGTCCAATACTTTGGATACCTACCACAGGATATGGTCGGCCGTTCGCTGTTTGACTTCTACCATCCCGAGGATCTGCCATTCATCAAAGACATCTATGAGACTGTGAGCATGCGCATCCCAGAACCGAAAAAAACAACCATTGTTTTCATAGGCTTCGATCGGTGACACGAAAGTATAATCGATTAATCGAGAAATTACGAGTCAAAATCAAAATTGAACAAAAAAACAAATAATAATAATAATAATAAAGAACGAAACGGTACGGGGATAGGTGTGAATGATAGAGAGACTAGGGAGTAAATACGGACGAGAGAAAGATACGGGTGTGAATCCGTAGAAAAAAGTGCGAGCAAAAGAGACGTGCGAGTCCCGAGAGCGTCCCGTACGACATACACACACACGACAAATAATCAAATATTCTGAATCGGCGTTATTAGTCACCCGCCCCTCGATTAATTCAATACTTATACGCGTATCGTTGAACAGGTGATCAGGCTCGAAGGTGCCTCCTTCAGATCGAAACCCTACAGGTTCGGAGTGCAGAACGGTGGCTACGTCGTCCTCGAAACCGAGTGGTCGTCCTTTATCAATCCCTGGACGAAAAAACTAGAGTTTGTCGTAGGTCAACACAGAGTACTGAAGGGCCCGGCGAATTCCGATATATTCCGCTTGCCGAGCGCCACCGAGTTCGGCCAGCTGGTCAACATTAGCGAGGAGGTGATCAAAGAGTCCAAGATCATACAAGGGGAAATACGGGCGCTTCTCGACGAGGTACGTTTTCTCTCACCGATCAGATCCGCCCCGACCCAGCGGTGTATCTACATAGTTAGAGCTCAATAATGTCTAATTGGCCGTGCGTGTATGTCCGACGATTGTCGAGTCCTTTCGAAAAGGTAAAACCCGTAGCGCCGTGGCGTTCAGCGGTATTCGCTTGATCAAGAATTCGTTCGAACAAGAATTCATTTGTATACAAATTCGGTCGAGTAAGAATTCATTTGTATAAGAATCTATTCGAATAAGAATTCATTTGTATACAAATTCGGTCGAGTAAGAATTCATTTGTATAAGAATCTATTCGAACAAGAATTCATTTGTATAAGAATTTATTCGAACAAGAATTCATTTGTATAAGAATTCATTCGAACAAGAATTCATTTGTATAAGAATTCGTTCGAACAAGAATTCATTTGTATAAGAATTCATTCGAACAAGAATTCATTTGTATAAGAATTCATTCAAGCAAGAATTCATTTGCACAAAAAGTCGTTCGTTATTCGAATATAAATTCATTCGGCAAACGCATGGTTCCGGATTCGAGACAGAAAGCGCCATCCCTTCTTTCAGCTGGAAATGATGAAAGCACCGGCAAGTCATTAAGCATACGTAACATGGAATTTGTTTGTTTCTTCGAGCATCGATCCGCTCTAATTGTCGCGGCGATTACATTGAACTTGGTCTGATCATTATCTGGTATTGAACGCCACGAAACTATTGTGAATGCACGTTCTAGATATATGGTTCACGTGTCACGTAATACACGAACCTGATACGTATACCATGATGGAGATGTGCGGATACGCGGGTCGGGAGGTGTCGGACCAATTTTAGAGAGAATTTCGAAGATCGTTTCTATCGTCGCAGAAAAATTCGAGACGAAAATTGTCGAGATAAATCGTGCGCGATTAAAACGATACTCTCGAGTTTGCCGTTCTTTCCGAAGGTGACAAAAAGTCTGATCGCCTCTCGGCCCGATCTGAACCGGTAGACAACTGCGAAGTAAACGGCGAGCAATAAGCTAGCAATAAATCGAATCGAGGAACGTAAACGGGACAGGAAAGATCGATCGAATTAGGTCCTGTTATATTAATAGTCGCAACCGAACGAACCAAAAAAAAAACACTTAATTCCCAGCTAATGTGTCCACTCAATCCCCAACGTTTTTCTCTTTTGTTCTATCGTACGTCTGCGCAGAACATCCAAAGAAAGTCAGATATAGCGGAGCTCGACGTGTCGAAAAGATGCAAGGACCTCGCGTCCTTCATGGAAAATCTGCTCCAGGAGACGAGGGCACCCGGTCTTGGCAAAGATGTGCTCGCTGCCGACGACAGGAGTTTTTCGGTGACTATTAGCTACGTTTTAGTATCGCCGACACTTTTTTATCTATTCTGCTACTAGTAGTTACGCCTATGACGCGCTCTGGTGGCATGCTACGAGAAAGAAAAAAAAGTATACTTAATTCTCTTATACATATTTACCACGTTCTGCCTGCGACGAGATTACGTGGAACCTGTTCGAATCTTATTGTTAGATATTTGTAGACGCAACGTTTCCGACGATTGCGTTTTCCCAACGATCCGTTCGCCGCCGATGTTCTCGATCCCGCTGTCTCCTTTTTCGAACATCTTTTTGGTAGATGCCGTTTTAATAATTTAACGGAGAACAACGCGAACGCGTCGTGCCGAGAACGCATAGGAACCAATCGGCACGGTACAAGAAAAAAGAAATTTGCGATGCTTGAGAATCTTCTTAATTTGGTAACTCGCCGGAAGTGGCCAAGTTATTGTGCTCGAACAAGAAATTTCATATTTTTCAAGTATAGAATAGAGCTCGCTATTACAGCGTTGTAATGTTAGTGTTTACAAGTACAAATTGAACGCTTGAATCGGCCGGCGATTATATTATCGAACAGAATCAAATTAGGATTCGGTCGAATGTAAAGCAAAAATACTAGAAAGCTTGTAGAAAATTCTGGATATATAAAAATCGCGCATCCAGATCCGTCTTAAATCCGCGTTCTTTTTAAACAATGAGATCTCTGTGTAATAGCTAACACTGTCGCCAGATGTTGTAGTTAATGATTATACGAATTACATTGTTGGCACAACTATAGTTAACCCCTTGCACTGAAACGACGATCTATCAAATATACATGGAAATCAAATTCGCCACTTTAATTATCAATATTTCAACGCTGTAAAGCGAAGGCTTTTTCTTGCTCGCCCAGGAATTTATCAGCGAAGAGAAACTGACAATCGCGACGCGGCTGCGAAAGAAATCGCGGTGCAAGGGGTGCGCCCGTTTCTAGGAGAAATCTTTAGAGTAGAATAATTTCGGCCACCGTCCATGATCATTGGCATTTCGTGGCACCAAACGACGTATTAAGTTTCGAACGATTGCGGTACGTAGCGATTTTAGAGCGGTTCTCTCTCGACGCCAGGTCGCAAGCATTTCTTTTCTCTTTGCTGGACCGCTCTGAAAAGCATGACGTAAGTAGAGTATAATCGACTTAGGTGGACGACGGGGAAAATATTCTCGGCTGATACGTTTGTTCAGGAAGCGACCAGATAATTGAACTTCTCGTCACGCCACGTTTCGTTTCGTTTCGTTTCGTTTCGTTTAGTCCGAATTCCGCGACGCGTTCTCGTGTTCGAGTTTACGTCGACGAACGAAAAAAAAAGGAAACCGAGGCTCTGGTTGCTTCCTGCGGGTATACGTCGGCGAATATCTTAGATGATAATTGGAAAGCAATGGGTGCAAGGTGAGTAAATGGTACACAGCAATTGATTAAACATTTTACAGCCTGGTGTCACGATCTAACCGGATGGTTGTCTCGCAAAAGTAACACTGTAGCCACGTATTTCTCGCAAGTTAGGGTAATTCACGCACACCTGCTACCGTAATTTCGTACGTGGCTAGTCGCGTAAGTAAGAACTAATGTTAAAGAGAACGGAAAACGGGGAAAGAGAAAAAAAGAGGAGAGAAAGAGAGTAATGAGAGAGAGCGGAAACGAAAATTCTATGAACCGTCTACCAAGTTGTTTCGTAGGACGGAGGGCAAACTGAGAGAATTGTGTAGGTCCGGTGATGGATAGCGTCAATTTCAAAACCTTGTAGGGACGTTGTTGGTAAGTCTACTTACATATCTTTCATTCAATTATCATTATTCGTTAAAACTTGATTAGAAACGAAAATCTTAGAGAACTATTTCGACTCACAATGTCAACCTCCATTGCAACAGTTTGGAACATACTGTAACTGATCGCTCCCGTTTTCCCGGCGTCTGCGGACGAACGAACGCCGACGGACCGTGGGAGAGCCGAGAAGCGTGTGTCGCAGAGAAAAACCGAACGTAGATAATGGATGTTTCATCGGACAATTGTGTCCGGTAATCCTCGAGTTTCGGCGGGGTTGATGTCGTCGGCAAATCTCCTCGATCTCCTCCTCGGCGGATCGATCGCTCGATTCAAAGGCGCATTCGATCCAATCTCGCTTTCATTGAATTCTCGCGACAGAGCACACCACCCCAACGGAGAAGACGTTTCCTTATTCCGCGCTGTCTTCTCGTCGCTCCAAGCTTTCGCGCAACTTTCGTCGACCGTGGATTTGCCTGGCTGCGTGCGTTTCATTTTCGTGGAGTTTTGGGGTGTCCAGACGGCGGTTCTTCTTCGTTACGAGAACTTCCTCCCTCGTCTCCAAGTTCCAGAAGATTTTCCTCGTCGTACTTTCTCGACTGCGATTTCGCAAGGATACAATGCTGGTTGCGTTTCACGGTCACCAATCGGTTCGCAGATCCCGCGAACCGCATTGGATCGTTCGTACGTCTGTCACGAAGCTGCGAACCCTTTTCGACCGGACGTTTTCGAAATGTCGACGGAACCCCTTCCGACGAACCCTGCTGCTACGTGGTCGCGATTTTCTAGCACACGAGAAACGATCGGTACAGCTAACGGCTACAAGTGTATTGATAAATTATTGCAATATGTGACGTTCGTGAATAGAGGCCCCGCGTGTCTCTTCGCTTACAAGGTTTTGAAACTAACGAGAGGAATCGAGAGGGCGAGAATGGCGGACCGAGCGTGTCCGGGGCTGTGTGCGAATGATTCGGCGGTCTCTCGGATTTTCGGCGGAAACGATCGACCACCTTTCGTCCGTCGATCGTTCGATCTTGTTCTGGCTACGATCTTGTTCCGGCGTTTATCTTCGAAACGAACGTTCTCCCAACGTGTTCTCGAGGCCGAGTTACACGCGAGAAAACCCGTGGGCGAGCCGCGGTTGGACGGCGTGCGATTTTCAGTAGCAGGTCGAATCATCGTTTCGACGATTTTTTATCGATCCGCGCGTCGATTCTCTTCGCCGGGGATGCGTCGAAACACGATTCGAGGGAAGCCTAGGGGAGCAAGTGTGCGAATGAGGAAGGCGCGGGTGGGCTGGGCGCGGTTGGAATAACGGACTTGGTAGGAAGTTGGTCGAAGTTGTGCTGTAGTCGAAGTAACAGTTTGTCGCAGGCCTGGAAAACAAAATGAATAAGTTGATCAACTGGTCGCTCGTGCGCTGTAAAAAAATTGCATTTTTGCGGTGGCAAGTCTCGCGTTGGCCGACACACGCGTGGTCGCTGGATCCTCCCCAACTACCCCCCTTCCTTTTGCATCGCGCGGTAACAAGCGTGTTTTGTTTTTAACCGGTGAATTTGTTCGCGACCGAATAACCCGGTAACACGGAAGTAGAACAATTTCGTAACCGCCCCCCCTCCCCCTAACGCAACGCAACGCAAATATGCAAAACAACTGACAGTGACGAAAATCATGTGACAACTCATTCTAAGTCGCTACAATATACTTGTGAAGGGATCACGCAATCCCTTGTTGCAGGAACACGACAGCGTGATGCTCGGTGAGATATCGCCCCATCACGAGTACTACGACAGTAAATCATCCACCGAGACGCCGCCGAGCTACAATCAGCTCAACTACAATGAGAATATCGAAAGATTCTTTAAGAGCAAACCCCCGGTGACCACCATGTACGGCAGCGACGAGGAGAACATTAATTCCAGCAACGACGAGGGTGAGAAGACCAGTCCGAACTCAGCAGGTATTTAGATTTAACGTTTCTTCTAGTTCTTCTTCTTCTTCTTTTGCACTCTATCGAAATTTCTTTGACGAGATAAATATTGTTACGTAATAATAATAATAATGTTATCGATAGCAAGGAAATGCATGTCGCCGATTAACGGAAGCGGCGCGAGCGGCAGCGGTAGCGCCGAGAATCTGAGCAGCGGGTCCAACAATCAGACCAGTTCGGCGAGCAGAGGCAACACCTCGAACACCGCCAGCAACACCACCACCACCGAAAGCTTCAAGCCACCCACCCTGACCGAGTCGCTATTGAATCGTCACAACGAGGACATGGAGAAACTGATGATGCAGAAGCATCGGGAGCTCCGTTCCAGTATCAAGAACAGCGACAAGCTGAAGGATTCGCGGATCAAGACCGAGAAAATGTCCGGGGACCCGAACGCGCATTTCATCAATCAGGGTCACGGGGTGAAGAGAACCGGAAGCCACAGCTGGGAGGGAGATAGTTTTAAAGTTAGTTATACCTTGTATCTTTCGACGACAATGCAATACGATTTACTGAACTGGGAACATTTCTGTTGTTCGTGAGAGTTGTTCTTATATTAAGTCATTGCTATTCATCGTTTCACTATGAATTCCGTGGTCGTGCGAATGTACGTCAGAAACGTACAAATACTAGGAGTTTAACGACGGTACTCGTTGATTGTAGAGATAAGAGTTGTTTAATCTACGCGAGCGTGTCTTCGGTTTGATCTCTAACTTTTGCTAAAGACAATGTATATACTGTTTCATCAGATCTCCAAGCACGAGGAAATGTCGAGAACAAGTACCGCGGGTCAATTCCCTACCAACGTCACTACGACGGTGGCAAGCATGAGTCTCGATCAATCGACTGTTATCCAAGCTGGTGGCAACATAAACCTGTGGCAACCTTTGTCGGTGACCGTGCCGCCTCCGCCGCCTGCTCAGCCAAGCAACGTGCTACCAAAGTGAGTCAATCTGCTATACGAAATGACTGAACACGTTATCCTAACTTTTTGGCCACGTGAAAATGTTTCCATTTCATTATACACGATGCACAATGTGTTGTAGGAGCTTAAATATCAGATAATCGAGAGACGTGTAACCTGAAGAAATGTAAAATTAACGAATGCACATTTTTCAAGTTAGATCTTATCATCGCATGCAACTGGCTAACAATTACTGTAAACTGAGATTCTGTTTGAGACAGATTGCGAGACTATATTCGCAATCCTTTTTAATCCTCGAAAGAGCTGATTCGATAGGATAATCTACTCACGAATTACCGAAGTATCTATCGGCCAATGATTCTGTTCAAATTACAGCGCCAATACACAAGCAATACCCAGGATACCAGTACTGCCGTCGATGATTCCGGTATATTATGTTCCGGTCCCACAAACCAAGGACCATCCGGTTTTATCGCCGATGCAGGAGAAGCAAAGCCCGCCCCAATCCATGCAACAGCCACAAATCAATCCTTACAGTATGTACATTCTTCTTCAAAGAATGACTTTAGAATAGAGTACGAAAAGGAAGGAGTGAAACAGAGAAGTAAGAAATACAGAGAAAATTGATGCACTTACTGGCAAAAGCTAAGAAGCAAACCAAATGACCAATGAATACAATTAATACAATTATTACAATTATCGTTATTACAAGTTCTGCGGAACAGTATAGTTTACAACTTTCTCTTCTTAGACCACAATCGCATAGAGATACACAGTCCAGTTTACAACAGAATACACAAACACAAAAAAGAGATGTGTGCAATAGACACGCGATAAAACGTTGCCGAGAATAACACACATGACACTTGTCAGAACAGTTTGGTTTCTTAACTTACGTCTCAAAGTGTTCATAAGCTATCATCCGTGCGCTTTGGAATCCATTAGACTGAGAGAAGTCAGTTAGAATCAGCTATTGTTCCAGCAACCCGAAACTTTCAAATTTCGCCTGATTTAATTCGCCTTTCTTCACTAATCTCATTTATCTCTATACCCGTCTTTATCTATTTATCTCGTTTATCCATCTAAACTCGTCCTTGTCGATTCGTTAACTCGCAAGCTTCTGTAGAAGAATGAGATTTTCACGGGAACAAAGATGATCGAGCGTTCCAATCGAATTTTCCAGTGTTCGTGCCAGTGTCGTACGTGACGACGACGATGGCCGGAGTGATTTGTCCTCCGGTGTTCGGTGGCCCGCCGCCAGCTGGCATGATGTACAGGCCTTTCGTGACCCCTGAACTGACGCCGGTTACGCGCGAAACTAACAACCAGTCTGTTGTTGACAAGTGTTTGGAACGGAAGCGACCGGCGAGTCAGGCGACCAGCGTCAAAGCGGAACCAGGCAGCACCATGGCGATGTCCGAGTCCTCGAAAAAGGTACGCTGATCTTGTTCACGCTTGGCATACAGCTCGGATATCGAATAATTCCCGTCGTTTCTACTATATTAGAAATTCAATCTTTATCAGGTATTATCACCCGGCGAGCTGTTCTCGTCCTGCGTCAGCATGGACGGCGGTTGCTCCAGCCTGGTAGACGCTCCGACGCCGGTCACTCAAAAGGTGCACAAGCAGAACGATTACAACGTCGACGAATCGAGCTCGTCGAGCTTCTACAGCAGTTTCCTGTACAAGAGCAGCGACAGCAGCTGCAACCCGGACCAGAAACCGACGGAGTACCTGCCCGAGGTGAGTCGACGCTTAACAGTTACCAAAAAGTGGCAAACCAGTTTCAGTAAGAATTTAGTAGCTAATTTGGTAGCCTTTGATACGATAACGGTCTATCCTCTTTCCGCCGACTATATCTGTCCGTTTTTTCAGGAGAACACGAAGCAGCATCAAGGTAAGCGAAGAAAAGAGCCGCCCTGGCTCGAAGGTGTCCAGTTGACGCCAGAACTGATATACGAGTACCAAATACACCCGAAGACACTGACCGAGGTGCTCCAAGCGGACATGGACGCCTTAAAGAATTTCAATCAGCCTTTGTTGGTGAACGACCAGCTGGGCCAGCTCTATTTGGACCTGGAGGTCGAGGGGTTCGAGACGAAGCTCGTCCTCGAGGACGGTATCACATCCAGCGGAAGCGACAGCGGGAGCAGCAACGGTAGCTGGACAGCGGGAACGATGTCGCAGGTAATGCACAGTACAAACAGTTTCATGATAAGTCTCGCGTAGCGTAATAAGGCTCGCTTATTTTGTACATACGATTTTGATTGTTTTGAGAGAATAGAGAGGCATACAGTATTGCACGATCGTTTTCTTTTTTTGTTATTAATGCAACCTCGGTGTATCAACGGTGAAACGTGCTCGTATCATGGCAGCGTGTATTTACATTTCGCGATAAATAAGTGATTTTGTCAGCGTTCTTTCTTTTATTATTTTGTATGCCCGATCATAAATATTATATCATACGTGACGGATGAAGTAAAAATCACAGCAACTGTTGTTTCGAGACACGATCTTCGCGTTCGATGCGGTATTATAATCGATAGACGCCAAGTTACGAAACTGCTTGCAATTGAAATTCATACTGTTTGTTCTTTCTTTTGTTAATTAATAACATTGTAGATTAAAATGATTTAATATTCATGAACAGCGGCGCGTCGTTAGTGGCAATAGACTGCGGATTTTATGCATAAATCTGTACGCAAGCGAAAGATCACAATTTTTTTCGATGAATTGCGTCTTTGAAAGATGCCAGTTTCTCTGCAGTAAGATCCGCGGTCTGTCGGCGAATCGATCGAATCATACGAACTCATTCAGCATGGTGATACTCATTGGCAAATATCTAATTTTGTGCAACGTTTATTGGTTACTCAAGATGGACAGACTCTTTTGCAACCAACCGATACATCCACGCGATAGTACCGGAAACGATATTATCAGTTTCGAAAGTTGACGATAGAGAAGGGCGGTTCGTACTAAACGAGCAGGATGTTGTTTGCAGCAAAAGCATGGGACCAGAATGGTGAAGTACGGTAAACTCGTGATGATACACGAGGAGAACGCACCGTTGCCGCCAGCACCGCCGCCGCAAACCGTGCCGTGCCAGCAGTTATAGGAACGATGTTGCGACGACCAATTCGCGACGAGACGCCGCGTTCAGGTTCGGAAGTGTCGCCTGCGATGTCGCGCTACGAATTTCTGTCTGGCGATCCAATTCGAGTTGGCCGCTGCGTGCGATTCCATTTGAACACTTCCCATTATCTCCACTGTTATCGCCTCCGCATCACTTATATCGAGGCAGATCAAATGCGCGCCGGCGCCTGTGCCGAGCGTGCACAACTTTGCGTTGTTCACCCCTTCGTTCCTCTTCGTTCTTAACGCTAAACCTCTACCGCTCTGAATGACCGGCCATTCTTCACTCGAGAATTGCAAGAACAATGGAGACTTCTAACTCACAATAAAAAAAAGAAAAAGAAAACGGCACAAAGTCTAGGAAAATTCCATGTTATCGCGTCTTTACGAGGCAACGCGAGTCGGTCGTTCTCAGGCAAGTTTATCGTTAAGTAAAATTTCAGTTGGTCGATGATCTATGCGTTCGATCACATTCACCTTGCGCGTGCTTGCGAACCGCTCCGAGTCGAGGGATCGGTCGGGCCGCGGCGTCGACGCGGCGTATCGTGTATTTATAAACTAGCTGTCCGAAGCCGGAACGGCGAACGAGAGAAATTCCACGCAGCTTTTGCATCGCGGCCCGCCGCCGTCTACTCGTAGTTTTTGTCGTGCGATTTTCTACTTTGAGATTCTCCGTTCGCGAACGGAGCACGTACAAACGCATTTGAACTGTCTCGCGTCGCGCTCTCCCTGTCATCGAACTGTCAATTCACGCATCTAGAGATAGGTAGTAGGCTAGCCAATAAGAAACCGAGAATCGTGCGCGAAAATAGAAATAGTCTGTTAAGACGTTTCAGTTCCTTTATTCTCGTCGAAGCGAGACCGGCGACCGCGCCGGCGACACACGGGACATTCTTCGAGACAGGCTCGACGAGAATGCTGCTCGAGCCTGAGGACGAGCAGAACGAACGAGTAGATTACCGATCCCGCGGTTTACGAGGTTCCTTTGATCTGGTCGACATCGACGTCCGCGCGATTGTCCCCCGCGTTTCATTTCGATGACACGTTCTTCCCGCGTAACGCGATCAACGGGTCCTCCATTGTCCGCGAAAAGCATATAATAGGTAGTCCGCTGGGAAGTCCGTCGGCCGCGCAACGTTTTAGCGTAGACCTCAGGTAAACGAGCATAGGGGACGATGCAACTTTCATTGCGAGCGAAAGAGCTCTGTAAAATGTCGATTCGTCGAATCAGTTCGCAGCGTATCGAGAAACTTGGAGTTTCGAACTTATTTGTTGCTCGTGTTGTTCTTTCTTTTTAATGTTTATCAAATTTAACGAAGATCGAGAGATATTGTGTAAAGCGTGTAAAAACGGGCTCAATGTTTTGCCAGTTTCCGCGGTATTTGACGGCATTCGTTTCGTTGAAACAAATCGAATTATTGTAGATCGAAATGGGACCAAAAACGACGAGGTTGATCAGCTTTGAACGCGCTCTGGGATTACGAGCTCTGTCGAACGATATTTGTAAATCGGTCGTAGCGGTTGTTAGCATACGACGAGAGCATAGTGTTGTAAAAATGAAAGGGGTTGTTTCGCGTTTATCGAGTCCTCTAGCAAGCCCTAGTCTGTTCGGATCTGTTGGACGAAAGCGCGCGCGATCTCGGCTCGATTTAATCGTCGCGTCCTCGATGCTTCCACTGTGTAGCTGTCGTTCGAACGTTCGTCTAAACGCGATCTTTGATTTTCGTTTTCATCGCGAAACAGAACTGAAGAGGTTACTCGGTGGAGAAATGTCCTTGGAACCTCGAACGCCTAGCATTTATACGATCGAGAAGTATTTTCTATACGATCTGCTTGTACAGTGAACATATTTACGATTGATTAACATTGTGTACAAGCGTCGGCCGGTTCGAAAGCTGCGAGTAAATATTTTGTATATCAGTGAACCGCGAACGATCCTTCGGAACCTGGTCAGTTCGTCTCAAGTCGTTCGCCATGTTTCTTGCAATTAGGCAGGACGGACGGCGACATATCTAATTTTATAACTTCTACAAAGATCAAGATATATTAACGTACAAGGATCAGAAATATTGCTTGAACCTTTACTCTTTTGTTCGACGTTCGCGTTTTGTCCATTTACTCGCCTCTAATCCGAGCATAAAATAGTAAAAGTAGATTAGTATTAAATGATCGAAGGGGCATAAAATAGCCTGTGTTATCTCGTCTAAATTCTTACGAACTGTCCGTTATATTCGTAAATAGACTGCGAATTTTATACGCATTTGTGTGACAAAAATGTCGAACTAAAATTTAAACCGATGAAAGTTTTAAAATAACTCAAGAACGTCTATGTATCATTTTCAACTGACTTAGATGTAGAAAAAAGAAAGATAAAGATCCGCAGTCTATTTATAATGATTTATAATAGGGAAGAGAGGCAATTGGGTAGAAAAGTAATGGAAAAATGAAAGAGCAGAGATCGAGCACTCTTTCTGCCTGTTGCTCATTGGAACAGCTTGGTCTTTGACGAAATTACGAAGTCGAAAGCGCTGGTTTTCAGAAGATACTCGCGTAGATCGGAACCGAGAAACGAAACTATTTCTTCGTTCGAAAATGGTGATCTAGTCTGCATAAAGTAGTTGCTGCAGCTCGGTTGATGTTCAGAGATTCGTGTAGAAACCGACGTTGTTTCGAGGAACGATCGTGGAAGAACGGTGGACGGTGGATAACTTCATCGTTCCCCCGTTTCTACACGCAATCTTAACACGACACAACGTGTGCCTCGGACTGACTAAGAGGCGGCATCGTACTGGGTTATCTTAGTTAATTAATTTTTCTATCGCGACACGTCATACGAGATACATATATATTTATATATATTTATATATATTTTGGTACCTTTTTTCACGGGGGCCGAGTAATGTAAATACGAAATAGAAAATACAGCTTGTTTAGAACGAAATTACCTCGACAATTCGCTGGAAAACTATTGCGGCTGCGTGTATAAATTTTGTACCGAGACGCGTTGTTTGCAAAAAGAAATGAAAAAAAAAGAAAGAGAAAATATTTGGTCGCTTGTCCGACGAACTGCGAGTATCGTCGTGACTAATTAGACATTCTTCAAGCATAGCGTATGAGTTGAGAAACGTACAGTGTCGAAAAGGATACGCTTCGAGTTCGACGCAGATACTTTTTGCATTCCGACGGTGTTAACTTGCACTTGTTGTTTATTTGTAGGCGTGTAATATTATTGTTTAAACGAGATCGAGCGGCGAGTTCAAGAAAAGTACCGTATCGGCGTAATGAGAAGACTAATCGACTATTTTCCTACAGAATTTTTATACTTTTTGATAGATTTTTATACTTTGATAGACAAGGTTCTACCGTAGAGACCTTAACGTTTTTTCAATTATCGATTTTCGACAATGTACCAATCAACAGTACAGTATATTTATTTATACAGCAGCATATACATATATTCCTTTAAATTGTTGCGAACCATTTACGTTGGAGCATTTATTTAATGTGCAGAGTGTTCGTGTGTTGATCACGATCAACGATTTCTCCACGCGCATTTTGTAATGAAATTCGAAATACGTTGTATTTTTGCATTGCCCTCCGAAACATGTTGTTGTTACTCCATGCGAACGAGTATTAACAATGTCGTTTAATAGGTGATAATTATTTTTAGCGTTGAAGTAGGGTCTACTAAAATCGTTGTTGTCGACGTATTGGATTTATAATCACGAGTCTGAACTTCTGTACTCGTGTCACACAGGTGTCGACAAACTTGATCCACGAGCTTCGATTTGATTTGCGACGATCACGTTACGTTAGCACAAACAATCTTTTGTGATTTTCTTCCACAGCGATCGTCGTAGCAGTTTTTTATACGATAACGCGCGAATAAATGAACACGTTCGCCGGTTTTCTACACGCGTATTCGTTTATGGTTGTTACCGTCTTGGATCAACCGAGAAACCCGGTAAAGTGAAACGAGTGCCGATAGTGGTAGTCGTGTGTTGTTACGCCAGGATCTGGGGACGATTGTTGTACAGATAGAAACAATGAAGTGAGTGAGAATGCGACGGTAGCTGGAACCTTCTCGGTCCCGTCGTTTTTATCGAATATGTATCTGTAATACTTCGCAGTATTTCGAGGAACTTTTGTAAAAGTAATATAACGTAGCACTAAAGGAATTAACGCGTACGCCTGACCGTGCTTGTTCTCGATCCACTGAATTTCGTGGAAGGTTCTCCGGATGCTTGCCAACAGTATAATTGTTCGTACAAAATAATTGTTCAGCTGATATTCACGTTTGGCTATGTTCGAGAGAAATCGGTTTCACAAAGGGATCGCCGATCTTCCTGCAAATTGCCGCTTCGACAGATCGTTTTATAAAAACCAAGGGTGCAACGGACGTTCGATTTACCATCTAGAATATTTTTTATGTTGCAATCGGTGCAAAGAAAGTGTGTTCGTTAACGCGGATGTTTCCTCATATTTCAAAAATATGTAAATAAATGCACGCGAAGATCCGCGATCGTGCGTTCCTATTTCTCCTTCGTTTTAGCGTACGACATTGCTTAAAAATTTAACGGGATCGTTTGCACATTGTAACAAGAAGTCCGGGACTTCTAAATGAACAAAAGACAGCTTAATTAACCAACGGTGATATCGAAATATTCGCAGCGATGTTAATTAAGTATTTTGTACTACCATTTTACTTTATATTATCTTTTCCGACTCGCGTTTTATCGTCCATAGAGATTCACTGGTTCGCGAGCCAAGTTTATCGGCATGAACGATCACGAGCAAAGCGCCGAACCTTCCACGAGATTTGTTGGTAAATGGGCCCGATGGTGGAGCGACGCCGTTGGGCCGTACGACGAGCGCCGCGCTTTCCGCAAACCGGCATTTTAGAGGTACAAAATCGTGCCGAACAGGTGAAAATTCTATCGCAGAGAAATGTCTGTCGCATCCGTGTCTTCTGACCGACGGAAACGAGGGACGCCCGTGCAGTTTGCCAGATCTTTCATAGTACAAAATATCAGAACAATGTCCGAACCCGGGTCCGTAATTCTTTCCAGCCAGAGGCACGGCGAACTTTGTCAGAAAACCAATCCACGGCGGACACGCGCCGCTTTCCAGGCGATTTCCAACGTTCAACATTCGAATCCCCCCCGTACTTGTGAATCTGATGCTCAATAATCATTACCCGTTAGACAACCGTGGACTGCACGGGGTCTGTTTCCGCGGCCAATCAAAGTGATCTTAAGCTTACCTTGTCACGCGAGAAGCTGTATTTGTAAATGCGTAATAATAGCGATAGCAATATACGAAGCATTATAGTGATGTAAAATCTGTTATCCGCATTCCTGTTCACCGATCTCTGTACTTATTTTTCGAACGGATTCTCTTCGTTGTCCCTTTTCTACCATCTCCCGCGACGCGGCCCGACGAGCGGGCCGCGCACGGTTATCGGCTCATACAACATATCGCATGCGATAGAGAGAAAAACAAAAATATATTTTGGACGAATAAAATATATTCAAGAATTTTCTGGCCCCCCCTCGTCACCCGTCGATACCATCCGACACACCCAGCTGCTACAAAAAAAAAAAAAGAAAAAAGAAATTCAAACCTTTCTGTCGAAGCACCAAACAAAAGCTTATCGCACCGGTTGAATACGAAATCGTCGTGTTCGCGTGATGTCGAGACATCTATTTTCCGCTTTTTAATCTGTTTGGTTCCGCGCGAATGGTCGCGCAGCGGATGTATTTTTAAGTTTCGTCATTCATTCACTGCTCCCGCGTTCCGGGGCCAATTATCGAAACCATCGGAACACACACGTTCGACGAATGAGAAGCTTAAGCCGACTGCTTCCTGCTGCGAGAGAATCAATTTTCTTTTTTTCTTTAGTTCTAGTCGTAGAATCACGGCGCGACGCGTGTAGAAGCGTCGCGTTGCGCATCGAGTGTTTCGCTGGAAACGCCGTTTTCCCTCGGCACATCGGAATTGTATAGATCATACGCAATACTCATTTTCTTAAGTTCGTTCTACAATTAGAGAGTAAGCACGTTTGATTTACTCGCTTTAAGGTTCGCGTCTTGCACTTGTATTATAGTTATACCGTGTCGGCGATACGACCGTCGATGTAATGACGCGATCGAGAGGAATACAATAAGGTGTCCGGGTCGTGTGGAAACGAGAAGGTCATGGGGTCCGTGACCCGGTGGCTATAGTAACCACGTTGAATCTCGATATTCCACGGCTATATCGACGAGAAAGGCTGTAAACGCGTCGAGAAAGAGACGTACGGCGATATACGATCCGTCCGAATCTTATTGTATCCTCGAGAACACATCATTTGCGCCGCTTAAAGGGACAGCTTTTATTTCTATTATCCTTCGTTGCGCGTAACGAGTCACGGAAAGTGAAGAAAATATAGGTTGTCGGGAGACGTTCAAGTTTCTTCAGCGTCGAATGTTTTATATTTCCTCCAACGGAAGTTACAACTTCGTTCGAAAAAGATTGGAATAATAATACATTATCAGATTATATAATACTATCATTACATGTTAACTTTGTACGTCCTCGTTAATATTGAAACACATTATATCTATGGGTAAATGTAAAAAATGAAAACAACCTGTTTCACTCCTTTTATTGTTCCTATACGTGTTCGATCGTTCATACTCTTGTCTGTTAGAACAACGTCGGATCGTCTTGGTTATTTATATAGTATCTATACAGTGCGTCGATTCCATATTGCGTTGCTTACAGTAAACTCTCTCTCTCTCTCTCTCTCTCTCTCTCTCTCTCTAATTGACGCTCAGCTTGTTCGCAAAAGTGGACAATTTGGGAAGAGGAGGTACGATTACTGTACGATTGTTTTTATAATTGTCTAGAATCGGTAGCTATGAAAAGGAGGGTCCGATAATCGTATCTCCTTTTCCCAAATTGTCCGTTTCCGTGCACAAGCTGAGGGTCAATCTGAGCGCGAATTAGGGAGAAATTACTGTGTTGCTCGAACGAATGAAGTTCATCGACGAAAACCGGCTCGTAGAAAGATCCGTTTAATTTCGGCAATTGTGGAGCAAAGAAAATCAGGAACCGGTCGCTCGCTGGTCCCACCGTTAATAAATTACCCGACCTTCCGCCTGGCTTCAGCTTCCGCCGAAGCACGTGGAAGCACCGCAATCTAACGATTATCTAACAGCTGCCGCGAGCGTACATGATACGATGAACACGTGTAATTTNTAGTTATACCGTGTCGGCGATACGACCGTCGATGTAATGACGCGATCGAGAGGAATACAATAAGGTGTCCGGGTCGTGTGGAAACGAGAAGGTCATGGGGTCCGTGACCCGGTGGCTATAGTAACCACGTTGAATCTCGATATTCCACGGCTATATCGACGAGAAAGGCTGTAAACGCGTCGAGAAAGAGACGTACGGCGATATACGATCCGTCCGAATCTTATTGTATCCTCGAGAACACATCATTTGCGCCGCTTAAAGGGACAGCTTTTATTTCTATTATCCTTCGTTGCGCGTAACGAGTCACGGAAAGTGAAGAAAATATAGGTTGTCGGGAGACGTTCAAGTTTCTTCAGCGTCGAATGTTTTATATTTCCTCCAACGGAAGTTACAACTTCGTTCGAAAAAGATTGGAATAATAATACATTATCAGATTATATAATACTATCATTACATGTTAACTTTGTACGTCCTCGTTAATATTGAAACACATTATATCTATGGGTAAATGTAAAAAATGAAAACAACCTGTTTCACTCCTTTTATTGTTCCTATACGTGTTCGATCGTTCATACTCTTGTCTGTTAGAACAACGTCGGATCGTCTTGGTTATTTATATAGTATCTATACAGTGCGTCGATTCCATATTGCGTTGCTTACAGTAAACTCTCTCTCTCTCTCTCTCTCTCTCTCTCTCTCTCTCTCTCTCTCTCTCTCTCTCTCTCTAATTGACGCTCAGATTGTTCGCAAAAGTGGACAATTTGGGAAGAGGAGGTACGATTACTGTACGATTGTTTTTATAATTGTCTAGAATCGGTAGCTATGAAAAGGAGGGTCCGATAATCGTATCTCCTTTTCCCAAATTGTCCGTTTCCGTGCACAAGCTGAGGGTCAATCTGAGCGCGAATTAGGGAGAAATTACTGTGTTGCTCGAACGAATGAAGTTCATCGACGAAAACCGGCTCGTAGAAAGATCCGTTTAATTTCGGCAATTGTGGAGCAAAGAAAATCAGGAACCGGTCGCTCGCTGGTCCCACCGTTAATAAATTACCCGACCTTCCGCCTGGCTTCAGCTTCCGCCGAAGCACGTGGAAGCACCGCAATCTAACGATTATCTAACAGCTGCCGCGAGCGTACATGATACGATGAACACGTGTAATTTCTTGCTCCCCCCTCGGCGATCTATTAAGGGCAAAGTGGCACTGATGCCCGTAGTTGTGAAACGAAAAAAAATTGTAAGGCGAGAGGGTGAGCAGCTGATTCGTGTCGTTGGACGTCGTCGCGCGTTCCTGCACGTTGCTGCGCGCAACAACCGCGGCCGCCACGCTCTCATCGTGTTCGTTGGCAGCGCGGGTCGCGGGTTCAAACACGCTGCCGAGACGTTCCATACTTTATTTTCATGATTGCTCTAACTTGTTTTATATTCCGGCCGTTCTAATTTAATATTTCAGCCAGTCAACCAAACACTTTGCTCGTGCACGATTTGTCGACCCCTGATTCGATCAACGCCAATGATCGTCGGTCAAGGTCATGCCAATGAAGAGTCCCTGGTCGTGTTCTCTTGTCTAGTTCCTCGTACTTCGAGACCGGTCTCTATATTACCAATCTGGAGACCAAAAGAGATTTATAGATCGTCCGATAGGATTTAGAACGGCGAACGGGACGGTTAAGCTAGGTGATGCTTTTTCGTTGCGGGGACGACCGTAGATTTGAATTTCTATGAAAAATATGTAAAAGCGAATTTCTCGACCGAGGAGTTAGAGAAACTGCTAAGTTCCTTAAGCGAACTTCTAAGCTTCCTGGTTCTCGAGAATACGAACAAATTATAGAAATATTATTTTACCAATTATAATTGCCAAGACGAATAGCTTTGTACCGTAAACGTATGCTCTCGTGAGTCCAGTCAACGATTCTTTTTTTTTGTTACAGTTTAATACGATACTCTAAAAGGCTGAATAGAGTTTTCCTAATTCGTTTACCTCGACTTGTTGTACTTCCTTGTTGGACGGTTTTAGAAACCTCCTTATCACCGGAGCCACCAGCATTGGATCTAATTTCTCGATATTCTCCGACGATATGAGACTGACGAGAAGACCGACGCTCATCGTCACCAACGCGCCGGTGACAGTGTACCAAAGATAACTCAGACGATACAATGCTAAAGGCTCTCTGAAAATGTAATTCTTTTAAATTATAACGTCCATTTTATATTAGATTTATATATATATATATATATATATATATATATATATATATTTATTTTAATATTTATTATATATATATATATATATATTTCTCCTCTTCCCAAATTGTCCATTTCTGTTTACGAGCTGTCAATTGATTTTGCAATTGAAAAAAATTATCCAGTCTTCAATGTACTCACGGTAGCATATCGTCTTCGCCCGCGTTCAAAATGTTGTCAGGGGGGATGAATATCAAACTCTCTACCTGAGGAAACGTGTAATAGCAGCCCTCCGTAGAGATGGGTTTCTNCCGATAGGATTTAGAACGGCGAACGGGACGGTTAAGCTAGGTGATGCTTTTTCGTTGCGGGGACGACCGTAGATTTGAATTTCTATGAAAAATATGTAAAAGCGAATTTCTCGACCGAGGAGTTAGAGAAACTGCTAAGTTCCTTAAGCGAACTTCTAAGCTTCCTGGTTCTCGAGAATACGAACAAATTATAGAAATATTATTTTACCAATTATAATTGCCAAGACGAATAGCTTTGTACCGTAAACGTATGCTCTCGTGAGTCCAGTCAACGATTCTTTTTTTTTGTTACAGTTTAATACGATACTCTAAAAGGCTGAATAGAGTTTTCCTAATTCGTTTACCTCGACTTGTTGTACTTCCTTGTTGGACGGTTTTAGAAACCTCCTTATCACCGGAGCCACCAGCATTGGATCTAATTTCTCGATATTCTCCGACGATATGAGACTGACGAGAAGACCGACGCTCATCGTCACCAACGCGCCGGTGACAGTGTACCAAAGATAACTCAGACGATACAATGCTAAAGGCTCTCTGAAAATGTAATTCTTTTAAATTATAACGTCCATTTTATATTAGATTTATATATATATATATATATATATATATATATATATATATATATATATATATTTATTTTAATATTTATTATATATATATATATATATATTTCTCCTCTTCCCAAATTGTCCATTTCTGTTTACGAGCTGTCAATTGATTTTGCAATTGAAAAAAATTATCCAGTCTTCAATGTACTCACGGTAGCATATCGTCTTCGCCCGCGTTCAAAATGTTGTCAGGGGGGATGAATATCAAACTCTCTACCTGAGGAAACGTGTAATAGCAGCCCTCCGTAGAGATGGGTTTCTCGTCGAATCTGATCAAATGTTACAAAGGATTTAAATACCGATATACAGGGTGGGCCATTACGAATTAGCGCTTGTATGTCTCCGTTATTTTTCGAAGAAACAAAGAGACATTGAAAGTGCTAATTCTTACCGAACCCACACACCCTGTACATTACAAAAATCTGGGAAACTTACTTCAATCTACCGCTGGCGATCGCTGCTTCGGCCGATAAACTGATCCAACTCATGAAACTAAGACCGGAAAGCCCGCCGATCAGGGCGCCCTGAATTTTGTAAAATCATTTGATTAATCCTCTCGTGAAACATTGTTCGATTGAATGGTAAATTTGCTAATACCTTGGCGTTCACCCAGGGCAATAACACTCCCATGCTGAAGATAGCCAGAGAAGGTCCACTGGTAATTGAAGTCAAGCTTGTAGTTAACTAAAACACATTATTGTTATATACTATATTATTATAAATTACTCGATCTTGTATTTAGAGTTTCTCCCTAATTTATTCGACGAAACGAACAAATGTCCCGTTCTAATTTCTGCGAATCGAAATACCTGCAAAACGTGAGATCCTGTTTTTTCGACAACGAACACAAGGGCCACGCAAGTTACCCCCAAAATCACAACTGTGAGCTTCATCAAAGTGTCCGCCGTTTTGGGCGTGAAAGGTGTCTTCCTGAACGGTTTGATGAAGTCTTCCAGCACCACGGCGGACATGGAATTCAGGCCGGTAGATAAAGAGCTGAAACAGTAGTGGATAGAAACGTAGCTCGGTTTTCGTGAGTCGTCGATCGAAGTTCGGTTTCGATTTACCTCAACGCCGCGCTAAACACACCGGCGACGAACAGCCCCGGAAGTCCCGGCATTTCTTTCAACACGTTCATGACGAGCAGAGGCAACAGTTGGTCCTTCGCACCCGCTAGCTATATCAAAAAAAAAAAAAACGTTTTCTCCTTGAAACTTACAAAATTCATCGGGGGACATTTTATTTCATTCGATCCTCTTTGTCTTCGAACTTCGAGATCAACCAGTCTGCTAAACTGTTTAAAATAATTGTATAAATAACACTGTGATTCGGGCTTCTGTAATCGTTAAGTTTAATCATTCTCGTTCGAATCGTGTATCCTTAATATCGCTGTATTTCTTAATTATTGCTGGTCGGATCGGCGTTACTCGCGACAAAAGTAATTACGAACTCGACCTAATAAACAGAAGCCCGGAACGGAAATTATTCAATGTCGAACGCGTAAGTGATGTCGATTGGATATATGAAATCCGTCGCTTCTAGTTTAGAATGAACCGTGGAATTGATCTGTCACGGAAGCTTCATTACCTTCGTCGTAAGTGGATCACATTCATGATACCAGGCATATATTAACAATCCCGCGTATCCGCACGTTCCCATTATTATCACAACACCGACTATGAAGATCCAGAGCGCCCTGAAACCCACAATCACCGTCACCATTTTTTTCCTCTGCATAATTTACCTTCGCCGGTAGATCATTGGGCGCACCAACGGGAAGACCCATATCTTCTTTTTGCGTTCCCGTTGATAGTCCAGACAACAGACACGGGAAAATTTTATTTGAAATGGAAACAAGAAATAGTTATTTGAAATAATTGTTCCTCGAACTAATATGAAACAACAAGATTTTATCCCCTTATTTGGGGAGAATTTACTGTATACGTGAAATCAGTAGACAGCGGATTTTTATGCAAAATAAAAATTGTCATCGTTTTAGTAATCGTTCAAACGAGTTGAAATCGATGCAACAGAATTTTTAATTTCCTTCTAAGTATTTAATGTACTGCACTCGGTCTGCTCGTACCCGCTGTAAACGCATAAAATCCGCTGTCCAGTAAACGAATGTAATTTAGATACCTCCTGGCCGACTTCAAACTGGGTAACGAGAGATACCGTTGTATCATGTTCTGATTAATGGCGGATATTTGTAACCAGTGAAAGAATCCGCCAACCACGAGCGACCATATCGTGTGTCTCGTGAGAGGATTCCAATCTGTCCTATTAGACGGTGCGTGTAAGTTAACGACGATTAACACTAGAATGGCATTTTAATCGAGTCACGATCGTCGATTACTCACGTGGGCAATTCGAGCCTGCCAGACTCCAGATTTCTTCTTAGCACCACCGATAATCCACCAACGTCCGATGTCCCTTTGATTATGATTAGTAGCATGGAACCGAACATGATAAACGTCTGAATAAAGTCGGTCCATACTACTGCCCGTATACCACCCTGACCGGCACAAAAAACGAGGATATTATTTTATAATCGTACCTTTTATCATAAAAGTGAAAAAACGATTTTGCGAGAAGCAGGTTGCACGCTGCTAACGAGAGATCAAAATTTGTATTTACATATCAACAGATTCTCAAGTATGATGACCATTTAACATCGGACTAGTTATTATTCGAACGATAAACAATTGTTTGGATCTCTTGCCTAATCGTTTCCCCTCGAAAATGAAAGAAAAATCGTTCCTTACCACGCAAGTGTAAAAAATGCACACGATGCACACGAACGGAGTGACTATGTGCACATTCGCCCCCGTAACTGTACATAGAACATAATATTATGTTAAGTATTTCTCGCGAGGGATGCTGAATTTTCGCACGGCCATCATACCTTGATTAAAAGCCAACGCCGGCACGTAGATGACGATAGGAAGCCAGGTCATCTAAAAGTATGGTGTCTCTATTACAAAATTGTTTAATTCGAACGGAAACAATCGGGTGACGTGATATTGTATGCTGTGAGATCGATCGAAGGAACTTACAACACCGATCATAAACAGCGCCGATCCCAGCAGCCTGATCTTTTTGTCGAAACGTTTCTCGAGATACTCGTAGGTGCTCGTCAGCTTGAGCTCATGGAAAACTGGCAAATATATGATGGACATCACGAAGCCGACGATAACGACCCCGAATGAGATGAACAGGTAACTGGTGCCGTGCACGTAAATTTCTGTCGGTGTGCCCAGTAATGAAATGCCTGTTATTGCAATAATACTTTCTGTTATTGAATGCGATACAGCGCGTTGCAAATACACAATAATATTATGAAATTAGATAAATTAAACTACGAAATGTGTCTCCAAATTTCTACCACGCTCGCAACTTCGAACAAGCCATTTTTTTTTTTTTAATAAATCTTCGAAGAACGATCTTTAGTGAGAAAACGTTCCTGATCAAACTATACAAATACATATAATTATATGACATGCAATATTATATGTACAATACTATATATATATATATTACGTAGAATATAGTATCGTATATTATACATATAGTATATATTATATAATAATACATACAATTATATGATATACAATATTATTGTAGACGATGATGTCTTCTTTGAAAGTTGTAAAAAGAGAGTCGGGAACGTTATCGGCCTTTAAAATTGTTAATTTTTCAACGGTAAGTGCTTCGTGTAGTGGAAAATTTGACGAGCATTTTAACGAATATTTGCAAACGAAGTCCTACCTGATATAAAACTGGCAATAAGACTCAAGCTGACAGGGAAAGTGTCCATATTTCTACCGCCCACGAGGTACTCGTCTTCGCCCGAAGATTTTTTCACGAAGCCAAAGTAAATTCCGATCGTACCGCAGACCATCAGCATCAATGCGAATACAGAGTAGTCGTACGGGCCGAAATTTCGCAGCATTTCGCTGACTTCCTGGACTGTGGGTCGGTCCTGCGACCAGACCTCATTCGGAACTTCCGCAGTCATCTTGTTGCAAAACGGAATCTTGTGGACGATGATTCGCCCCTAGGCGTCTCGCGATACAAGGGAGATCTTCTAGACAGCTAATAAATTCGTTCGATTTATAGACAAATGTATAGCAAGAAATATGTATAATTACAAACAGATAGCGCTCTTCGTATTTTGAATTGCAGGCGATCGTTCGATCGAAGCAGCTTCGTAGAACAAAAATTCAACAACTTTATTTTGAATGTGATCTAGCAAACATTGTTGAGTGCTATCAATATATGTATAATATTTATAGTATGCCGATACTGGAGGTCTGATATTGCATCTCCGCTATAATCGTAAGCGCGTTATTAATGCTGAAGTTGCGATGCAATATGAGCTGTAATTAAGAAGACACTTAAATATTCGTTTTTTTCTCGTTTGTGCGTGGGAATAGCGTACTTACCGCGATTATTGTAACATACAAGCTCTTTTTTGGTCCATTAAAGCTTTTCTGTCAGGAAAGCTAATAAGAATGACAAACTCCCGTTACTTTCTTTCACGTGCACTCGCGGTGGACAGATTATGGACAGCGAATTAATGACAGAACTACAAAAACTATAAGTTTAACGAGTGCTTCTTTCTTCGCCGTGTACACTTAGAAAGAAGACGGTTTCCATTTACATTAGAACTGGAAGAAAAATTGTCTGGATGTGTTCGACGGTAGGGTAAGTGTAATGACTGACCGTAGAAGGTCGCAGGGGTATCACGGAAGACCGGTCACAACTACCGCAGAGAGTTCATCTGAAAGGAGCCACATACAGGCTCGAAGCGGCTTGATGCGATTGCACACATCATGATTGTGCCATTGTAACAATTTTCTCATTAAACCGACAATGGACATTAAGTGCGATGTTAAAACGACCGGGTATATACCAGAGTGAATCGTAAGTGGATAATGTGACCTAAATATAGTTGTAGTCGTGTAAATGTGTTTAGTCGTATACATGATCACTATTTTAGTTTCCAAACCGATTTTCGGGAATCAAAGATTTATTAATGGCTTTCAAGATGCGTTGGAGTCATTCGAACCTTTCTATAACGACGATTAATGATCAATTTATAGAAGGCAATAAAATAATCGTTATTTTTTTCTCTTTCAAATTTAATTAAGAATCTTGACCTGTTCAGTACAATGGTTTTAGAAGTATACGATACAACGTAAGTAAATATATTGTTTATGTTTAAAAGCTAACGCATTCATCCCTCGTAGAAACGTGGTAGTTCGTTGCCTAGTATAACTTTCCTTTCAATTCCCTTTTCTGTAATAACGCCGACTCGAATGACACCACCGCTGCTACCGTCACGTGACATCGCCAATGCCAACGCTATAAAGTCGTGAAAGCGTCATAAGTACCACATCATGTGAAATAATTATGCTGTATAGACATCGTGCTTAATAACTACGTACTATTTTCAACTAGGTTAACGCACTCATCCTTTGACATATTAGGTTTATACTGTGAATCCATGTAGCCGTACACGTACGTCGAACCTGATCCACCAATAGAAATTGGTTGCCGTACACACATACCACCTAAAGGAATGCTATAAACTTGACCTCCCTTCTGGCTGTCCCATCCAGCTACTAAGATCCCAGCCGATAAAGAATCTCGATAGGTATAACATAAGTCACGGAACACACTTGCAGCTGTCTCTACTAACGGTTCTGTACCTAGTTCCATTCTAAAAAAAAATTATGAATGTATTGCATGTGATGTAATAACTCAATACTAATTACCATAATAGCACTATAATTATTATATTTGAAATATTCACTTGAGAAAATTTAAATGAAATGAAACAACATCAGCGATGGCCTGACTATCTGCTGCAGAACCAGAACGACAACAGTAAATGTAGTCTGTTATTTTCGTTAATTTATCAGCAAAACGATTGGAAATATAAGCCCTGAAAGAACATCAATGACTGTTAAAATTATCAATATAACAATTGATTACATTCATTTAAATTAAATTTACTCCTTACCCTGTTGTTGCTCTAGAATCTGCTCCAATCACAACTCCTCCATCAAATTCACATGCCATAATTGATGTCTAATTAATACAGAAATGAAAAACGTTATAGAAATAGAAGATAATTGATGAAATCACAATGTTAATGATTATAAGCAAATAAGTTTTGCACTGTCATTCTAACCTAAAAATATGTACATGTCAGAATTAAACGTAACTTACTCCAGTACTTTGCTCTGAATGAAGCCAATCTGGAACTAAGTTGCTAGTATCTGCATGCAGATTTGGCAGCACTAAATTATTCACCATATAAGCCATTGTTTTAAGTTGTAATAAATCTTTGTGTTATAGAATTCTTATAACTCTTAACGTTAGCGAATTAAAAGCTCATCCGTAAGTTTTTAGATGCTGACCGCTTTACGACTTTCTTCCAGGAAAGTAGGAGTAGGAGAATTACTCATCACAAATGGGATTGGACGAAGCCAATGGATTTCTATTGGCACTCCATTGGAATCGTCCAATACCATTTGCGAAGTCTCCTCTCCGTCACTTGGAGCAGATTCCGAGCAAAATCCCTAACATCATTGGATACACTAGATACCAATGGACACACTGATCTTGAGTGGAAATTCCAAGAATGGTCAAACGTCGAGAACTCTGCCCGCAGCCACTCTCGCACGCCAACACCAACAATTGAGACGCCTCTTGTGGAGAAAAAGTGAAACTCCGTAGCCAGTTTCATAGATGCCGGTTTAAATCTTTATTCACGAATATTACCAACCTAACCTTAACCGCGTGTGCACATGTACACTAAAAAATTGGATTTGAGAAAAGAAAGATATAAATTCTGCATAATTTCATAGTTTGTATCTATATAAGTTAGTTTAATTGTTGTGCGATAAGTTTTTCAAGTTTCAAGATGTTTAATAAGACATTTCGGGGATGTATTGTTATTTCGAGGAAACCTCATTTAAATACTTGTATTTCTATAATACAAAATAAAAGTGTAAACACAATATTTACACATTCGACACAGAAACACCATTTTAAATATTGTGCATTAATAACACGAACATACTCTGGATTGAATAAATCTATGGAAGTGACTCGACAGTACAGAGAAAACGATGAAAAGAAATTTCAAAAATTTCTTGAAGTTCCTGAGAATCGTTTAATATTTCAGAAATTAGAATTAGAAGTAGAAAACTATCGGTATTCAAATGGCAGAGTACCAACTAAGCTACGCCCTACAGACTGGTTACTGTTACTTGCAATAACTAGTAAAACACAACAGAGGTTGTATAATATTAAATTTTATATTAAAAAATAATTTTAGTTGTATATATATATCAAGTCTAATATTTGTTTTGAATACTTAGAGGATATTTAGAGTTTCGTTGGAGAATTGAACAAGTGAAGGAAGATGCAAAGAAAATGAAACAAATAACAGCAGATATAGAAAAATCACATGTACCAATAGATCAAAGTGGTGATATTATTCGTTATGGTTTACACTTTAACACAATGTTCTTGCGTATAGCAAATAAAATGATGAACAATTTTTACAATATGAGGTTAATGAATGCTATATTATATGAACCAAGAGTAGTATATGATCTTAGTTATGACAGTTATATGTCAGTATTTGAATCTTATAATTGTGCAAAGCAATTAGTGTTGGCATTTGCACAAAATCGAAATCACAAAAGTCCCTTCAATTTATATTTTTGCAATGCTGATAAATCTACTCTTGTGATGAGACAGATGCATAAAAATATACCAACAATGTATGATGATAACTTCCCATTAAATATTACTGAAAAATCATACTTAGATATATTTGACAAAGATAAATTAATATATCTCACACCAGATACGAACCAAGTACTACAAAACTTTGATGCTGATATGGTGTACATAATTGGTGGCATGGTAGATAAGGTGAAACATTTTATTATTTATTTATTAATGAATTGTGTAATTTGTTCTGTACTATCCTTATGCATATATTTCAGATGCATCCTAAACGAATTTCATTTGCAAAAGCTAGAAGTGAAGGAGTTCGGATGGCCCGATTGCCTCTATCTGAACATTTGCCATGGGGGACTGGATCTACAAAGAATCTTCCTTTGAATCAAGTTCTAGGCATATTATTGGATCTACATCATACAAATGATTGGGATATAGCACTGAAACATATTCCTAGAAGAAAATTGAAACCAGCAAGACTTCTTGAAATGCGTAAGGAAATGGCTAAAAGACAAGAAATTATAGATTTGTTAACGAGCTTGGGATAATTATTAGTGATAGAATTAAGTTGTAAAATGAAAAATAAGATGTATATTTAAATAATTAATACACAACAGTAAATTTTATATTATTATAATATTTTTTCATTTCTGTCATAATTTGCTGAGTGACTGTTATAATAGAAGTATTTAATACATTTTTATGTGGTGTTCTAAACATAGAGAAGGATAGCGATTGAAAGTAAACACGTCCATCAAACATTAAAGAACTCGTGCAAGCTCAGTCTTTTAAATTTAACACTCAATATTCTCTTTCCATCATACGTAAAATAACACTACAGTAATACCTCATCATATTAAGCCGATGTGGACGCAACCGGCTTAGAATTATGAAGCAGGTAGAGAATTGCTTCATTGTCTTTTAAACATCAGCAAAATTTCAAGCGAAACAAGTCACCGACGATCAATATAGCTTGACTCGCTTGTTTCGAAAATTTTAATAATTGTGGAAATGATCGCCGTCGAGAATCCTGTTTGGGGAAAAAGTACATGTTGAATATCGCATCACTTGTGTCAGGCGTACGGAGAGAGAGACTACGAGCACGATAAAGGGAGACGGTATAGATTTTTCGTCCGCGTGAACACACACACATAGAGCCCGCTGGTTTTCATTCTATCTCTCTCGATCATCTCTCGTTCTCCTTCTAAAGCAACTGCGCGGGCTTGGATGCGTATTAAAATACAGGTTGCCGCGGTGGCAGCACTATACAGGGCGCAACGAAAGCTCGGGCGTGAACACTCATTTTCTTTCTGGTAGAACCAAACCTGTCAGATCTCTGCAATTTAGTACAATATACCACCTGGTTTTTGCACAAGTTGGCGTACCGAAATCCTGAACTCAAGCTGTGTGCGAACAGTTTGACATCTTCAGTAAAGATTCTTCACTGGTGATAATAATACGTAGAATATCGGAAAATATATAATTTAACATAGCGCCTGTTAATAGTTCATCTAAAGAAATTATGGGATCTAACAATGAATTTCAATGTATACATCGTTTAAAAATCGATGATACCATACCAGTATATGTTTATAAATCTACAAATTCCGGAATTACGGTTTGTATAGCAGAAGTTGACGGTCCTGTTGTATCTGGCTATTTTGGCTTTGGTAATTTCCTTTGTTATTATATTCGTGATATTTTCTTAACATATGAAAATGATTTTAATCCGTTCTCACATGATATTTATACATTTATGTTATAATCATAATTTTGTTGATCATTTGGAAATTAGCTACTGAAGCACACAACGATGATGGACTACCTCACACATTGGAACATCTTATTTTTTTGGGAAGTGAATGTTATCCATACAAAGGAGTTTTAGATTTATGGGCAAATAGATGTTTGGCATCTGGCACCAATGCAGCAACCTTTGTCGACTTTACATATTATACTATGACAACTGCTGGTAGTGAAGGATTCTTATCCTTAATGCCTGTGTATCTCGATCATATTCTTTATCCAACACTTATGGTAAAAAAATTTAGTAATTAATATTATAAAACATATTCACACATCCTTTTTTGGTGATTGTAATTGATTTATTAATATTTGAATAGGATTCAGCTTATGTTACAGAAGTACACCATATTGATGGTAAAGGTGAAGATGCTGGTGTGGTATATTGCGAAATGCAAGGTGTTGAACAAACAGGTGAATCTTTAGTATATACAGAACTATCTCGTGCAATTTTTCCTGGTCATTGTGGTTATAAATCTATTACTGGAGGTAAGACCTATTTATTTTAACATTTTTTTGTGCATATAATACAATAATATACATTATAACTTCTATTTATAAAAAACATTTTACTTTAATAGGAGCATTAAAGAATCTTAGAGAAAGTACTAATAATGAAAAAGTGAAACAATATCATAAAGACTTCTATAGGCCTGAAAATTTGACCCTGATAATAGTTGGCCAAATAAAACATGATGTTGTATTCGAAGCTCTACTACCTATAGAAGAAAAGATCATGTTAAGAGTATGTAAACAAAATGTTGTGCATCTTAATTAATTAATATTCTCAAAAAATTATATGACTTGAATAATGTTTTAGGGAAGTAGAGATTTATTTGAAAAACCTTGGCAAAGTCCAGTTCCAGCTCTTCTTGAAAGCAAAGACATAAATGTGCTTTATCCTTGTGATGATGAAGATAATGGAATAATAAATATTGCTTGGCAAGGACCATCAGTTGTTAATGATATATACAACGTTATTGCTTGTGATTTACTATTGAAATATCTCACAGACACTTCAGTTAGCCCACTACAAAAAGAATTTCTTGAAATTGCTGACCCATATGCTAGTAATATCACCTACTTTTCCTACGAATATTCAGTATCTCTTTTGTGTCTTGAATTTGAAAATGTACCAAAGTCGAAGATTTCACTCGTGAAAGATCAATTGTTAAAGACATTAAATGATGTGCATAAAAAAGGCATTGATATGAAACGAATGAAAACTCTTGCTCATAGGTGCATCCTTGAAAGATTAAGTTGCTTAGAAAGAGCACCTCACGATACAGTAGCAATGATGATGGTTAGGCATCTGCTTTATGGTAAAGATGAAGATGTAAGTAAATTTTATAATATACTATATTAATTTTTATTTGATAATGTTTCATTGATACAACACCTAATTCTTCATAATTTTAGTTAGTTCGGAGATCAAACCAAATTGAAGATCTCAAGAAATTAGAAATGGAACCAGAATCTTTTTGGTTGGATCTTTTAAAAGTATGTTTGCTTGATACCCCAATGGTAATTGTTAAAGGAATTCCTAGTTTAGAAAAACAACATGAATTAACTGAGAAGGAGAAGGAACGAGTAGCTAAACAAATTAAAGAGTTAGGTGAAGAAGGTCTTCAACTGAAAGAAAAAGAATTAGAAGATGCTATTGCAAAAAATAATGTATGTAATCTCTTAAAGCTTAGTTGCATAAAAATTTACTTATCTTGCTTTTTATATTATACTTTTGTCTAATTTAGGTACCTGTGCCTGATGAAATGCTAAGTTCAGTACCTATTCCAAGTACTGATCTCATTAGCTTTCATCATATCAAAAGTTATACGACAGAAACATCACAAGTTGATCACGATTGTAGGTTTGTTTTATCGCGTTTACCGTTTTATACGTACTTGGATCATGTTAACACTAATTTTGTATATGTATGTATCAAATTATTTTACCAGCGTGTTTATAAATTACTCTATTTCATCATTTTATATGTAACTATACAATTCTTTTCAGTTGTTTGCTATCATGGATACATCGTCTGTTGAGAGAAAATACAGACCTTACATTCCTTTATTACTCGAAGTTATTATGGAAAGCCCAGTAAAGCGAAACGGACAACTCATTCCACATGAAGAAGTAGTGGCTGAACTAGAAGCAGATACAGTAGCATCTGATACCAGAATCGGAGTTGACAATTCTTTTAGATTTTCATGTGGATCATATAGTCATAGTGCTATTTTGATGTTGCATGTAATTCACACAATTTTTTTATATAATTTTAATATCATAACTATTGATTATATTAAATGATTATTTTCATTACTTAGCTAGAGATAGAAAAGTATGATAAAGGTGTGAGGTGGATGAAAGAGTTGTTATATGAAACTGAGCTCACATCTAACAGACTAAAGATAATAGCTACAAAAATGGTGAACGATGTAGCTCAAGTTAAAAGAAAAGGAAGTAAAGTTGTAAGTGACTTAATGAAAGGATTATTATATAACAAAGGTAAGAAAATATTTTTTTTGTAATCATCTATTCTTACAAACAGTTATATCATTTTTAACTTTTAGACAGCAATCAATTTACATCTAGTATGCTGCGACAACAAAAGTTTCTTACTAATGTTTTAAACCGTTTAAATGATGAAAAAGAAGAAGGTTCTATTATATCAGAAATTGAAATAGTTAGGAAGATTTTAACAACACCTAAAAATATGACAATGTACATAGCAACTAATGTGGACAAGTTGACTTCTCGAAATCCAGATGTATACAAATCGTGGGCCACCTGTTTTTCTAATCTAGAGACATTGGAAAAAACTAGGTAAATATAATTTTTAAATTTTAGGTACATAAGTTTTAATTACATATTTAATTGTATAGACTTGACATTATTCCGGACTCGATGCTTATAAATCCTCCACACGAAATTTCAATTAACGGATGCGTTACTGGATTAGGATGTATAGAATCCTCGTTTTTAATACAAAGCTGTCAATGTATAAATAATTATCAACATATAGATTTAGCTCCATTGCTTGTTTGTTTGCAATATTTGATACAATTGGAGGTAGGTAAAAACAAAATTATAATTATTCAATTGTAAATTACACTGTATTTATATATTTGGAATATATCAAATTATATTTTTTATAGGGCCCCATGTGGAAGCTTATAAGAGGTCAAGGTCTTTCATATGCATACAATATTTATGTTAATGCAAATGAAGGACTATTATATTTGTCATTTTATAGATCAACAAATATTGTTGCAGCATATAAAGAAGCTAAATCAATTGTGGTAAGTTTAGATTTTCATTAAGATTAACATTATCAAAAGATTAACATTATAATTTCTTTATTACAGAATACGCATATTACTGAAAATAAATGGGAAAAGTTACTTTTCGAGTCAGCAAAATCTTCTTTAATTTTTCAAATTATTGAAAAAGAGCAAAGCGTGGGTGATTTAGTAGAACATTCGTTATTATCTTATTTCAAAAAAGTGCCGCATAATTATTCCCAGCAAATGGTGCAACGTATATTTGCAGTAAAAATTGAAGATATGGGGCGTATAGCATCTCAATATTTACCACCATTATTTGATCCAAAACAATGTAAAACGACAATTGTTTGCCATCCATCTAAAGTACAAGAAATAGGCGATACTTTTAAAACGTAAGTAAATGAACTTCATATTTACATATTCGTAATACATACGATTATTTTAATTAATTAATAGTAATAATAATAATTAATAATAAAAACACGTTTAGTATATTCTATATCTGCATCTATGTCTATACATATTTCATTTACAGATTAAATCATGAGCTTAAATTGTATAACAGTCTTGAAGAAAACTACTTAAATGATTGGTAACTTGCAAATACGTTAAATTGTTCACTATTCTCTGTTACAAATAAAATATTATATTGTTTCTAATCACGTTATTATCATTAATTGCAAACTACACTTTTACACGTTTAAGAACTGCTTGCTGATGTTTGTAAGTTAAAATGAGAACAGAAATT